AGTTAAAGGGAGGACCCAGTGTGGCCGGTATGAAAACAAGCCAAATCTTCTCATTCGTCGGTAAACACTTCGCATGCCAATAGGTCTTCCGTGTTCTGCAAACCATTCATTTGCAATGGACCTGGTAGTGGAGAAACGGTCCCTTAAGGCCAATAATCTTAGGCGGCGATCTTCACGGTCTGTTGTTCTACGGCGGCGTCCAGTGCCCCTTGCTCGTTGCGCGTACGGCCTTCTCGAAGCCATGCCTGACAACACCTAACCACAGTGTCTACACTTCTTTGCACTCTAACTGCAATTGCCCGAAAAGAAAGTCCAGCTTCCCACTATACGGCCCCTATCAAACTCACTAAGTTGACGAAATCATACAGGTCTCCGTACTCTAGGCATCGTAACCGATCGTAAAGGATGTCAAGAACAAAAATCCGCCAGCGTTGATTCTTTACTGCGGCTGAAATATTCATTTTTAGAGCGTTAATGAATTAAAAAAAAGCAGTATAAAAACCGGAATGTCCAACTGATAAGGCTGAACATTTTTTGACTTGTTATTTACAGTAAGATAAATACATTCACCAACTTTTATTAAAATAAAACCATTTAAACTGGGTGTTCGGATTTACATGTCACTTAGTATAATTTGATAAAAACAAGTCAACCAAGTTTGCTGTTCAGCAACAAAGTACTTAAATTTAAGATTGACTTGATTTTGCATAATTCGCTCTATCTCTTCTTCTAATTCTTTCTGCGTCAAAGCAAGATTTCTGGACATTGTAGAAACACAAACTACATTCAAAAATAACAACAATAACCGCCTATTCCGTCTAAAAATGTGTACGTACTGAAATGTCTGCTGAAATGCAATTAGAAAGACAGTAGACACCACGTGCTGACTTGAAGAAACATGTCGATTGCGCAAAATCGCTGCGGACCGAGAAATGGACCGAGTTGGGGCATATGATAAAAAAAGCTACTTCCACGCCGCCTCGGTCTGTTGGACCGAGTGACAAATTTGACAATTGAAGGGCTTGGGGCAGTAAGGGACCTAAGCCACATTTTGATGAAAAATTAGATTTCCATACGAGCGAACTCGTTGAGTAGGTATCTATGTCTGAAGTTGATTTGTTTGATGATCCGCTGGTAGATGTCGCTATAATCCATGAAGAGCGTTTTTGACAGATTGGTTTAGTCTACAAATTTTTACGCCGAAAAGGACATAAGCCACATACATTTCGAGATGGACGCCAAGCGGAAATTGTTCGCGGGTGAAAATAATGGATGTTTTAGTGATTCGGAGAGCGAAGATGGTTCTGAATTTGGATCAGATGATAGTGTAAAGGACAGAGACTATAATCCGACAAGCAGCAGTTCTGACAGTGACTCCGAAAGAGAAACTCAGGTGAATAAATAAACTTGTGGCTTGTGACCTTAATGCCGTTATAGATGTGGCTTATGCTTTTTTCACATAGGAGTGCAATTTTTTAATATTACTTCTGCAGTATTACTAGATTATGATTTCAGACTAATCATTCCTCAGAGTATATCGTAATCCTAATTTACAGAGGCCATTTTTAACAGCAAATAACTCCTGAACACATGATAAAAATATGTAATTTTGTGCAAGTGGCTTATGCCCTTCTTCGCCAACTAAATTGATGTCTGTGTCTTGTGACGTTTTTCAGTATCCGGGAATAGCGATAACTTTTGCAAAATAGAACTGAGATTTACTGTCACAAATAATTTTAGTTATTATTATGATAATCAACTGAAATAGGCATTCGTCAAATGATTTTTTTTTGTAACAATAAAATGGCTTTTAGGTTGCTGTAAGCAGAGGCAAGATGTTTACTCCAGAAAAACCAAATAAATCGAGATGGAGAAAACGTAATATTGAAGGCAGAGCAAGAGTGAAATCGAAAACACGCAGAAATCTTGGCCACAGTTACATAGATTTCAAAGGTCGACAACGAGAGTCTAAAGTATTAGGTCCACCATGTCAGTGCAAAAAGAACTGCAGACAACTGCTCCAAGAAACTGCTTCTACTATATTCCATGCATTTTGGGACTTGAACTCGTATGGCGAACAGAATACATATCTATTTTCTACTGTGAAGGTTATACCTAAAAAGAGAAGCTACAAAAAAAAACTAAACGCGCGGAATCGGCTCGACGAGTAACAAACCAATATTTTGTCAAAGTAAATGGAGTTGACATTCAAATATGTAAGACTGAATTTTTATCGGTCCATGGACTTCAAAACTCCAGTAAGCGATTAAAACTTATCGCTCAGCAAATTGTTGAAGGCAGGACAACTCCAAAAAGGGACGGTAGGGGCAAACATCAAAACAGACCCAACAAAATTTCTGCAGAAAGAGTTCAGTCTGTTCATGACCATATTAAAGCCATTCCGAAATATGTGAGCCATTACAGTCGGAAAGTTAATCCAAATAGAGTTTTTCTAAACCACGACCTCAACATATCTACTCTCTACAAGGACTATTATGTTGAGTGGTGCAAAGAACGTGGAATAGCACCAGTAAAAGAAGATCGGTATAGACGAATATTCTGTTCTGATTACAATATAGGATTTAAGTTGCCCAAGAGTGATACTTGTCATACATGCGACTTCCTTAATAATCAAATGGATGCAAATAAAGAAAACCTGGAGGAATTCAATGAATTTAAAACACAACTGCAGCTTCATCAGACGAGAGCACTTGCCATGCAGGATAGCTTGAAAAAAGAGGTATCAGACAATGCGAAAAATTCCACGTGTATAATATCATTTGATTTACAGCAGACTCTTCCCACGCCTTCGCTAACTGTGAGTCCTGCCTTCTATTTACGAAAGGCTTGGACGTACAACCTCGGCATACACGATTGTGTCACTGGCAAAGGTAGCATGTTTTTGTGGGCAGAAACTACTGCAAAAAGGGGAAGTGAAGAGATTGCAAGCATCCTGCTGAAATACTTACAAGGTATATCTTCCACTAAAGAGCACTTGGTAGTTTTCACTGATAACTGTGGAGGCCAGAACAAAAACTGGGTAAACATGTCTTTGTGGTTGCAACTTGTTCGCGAAGGATTCTTCAAGTCCATAGAGCACCGTTTCCTTATTCCTGGCCACACTCACTTGCCTTCAGATAGAGACTTTGCCATCATTGAGAAGCATAAGAGGTACATCAAGCAGGTATACTGTCCAGAAGACTGGGTGGATATCGTTAAGAAATCCAACAGAAAAAGCCCATTTGACACAGTCTTATTGGAACAACATGACTTTTATGCATTTGATTCCATCTCTATTACGAAAAAACAATCTACCGTAGATAAGGAGGCCGTCAAATTTAATGAAGTGCGCTGTTTCAAGTTTGACAGTGAACATCCCAATTCTATGTTCATAAAACATACCCTTAACGGAGAATTTCTTGAGGTAAATCTGGGTAAAAGAGGATCTCGGCTGGGAAGTCAACGAACCCTGACAGATTTGAGAAGAAAATACAATGGACCTCTAGCACTGAATGACAAGAAGATCAAAGATCTGAAAAAGGTTCTAAAATATATCCCGCCGATTAGTCAGCAGTTTTTTGTTGATATTGTAGGAAATACAATTGAAGCAGAGCCAGGCAGTGAACAGCCGAAGGAAGGAGAAGAAGAGGCTGAAGATATAGATGGCGATGATGAAGAAGTGAATTTGGACTAAATGAGTGATTCGAGCTATCATCAGAATGCATTATTTTTTTTGTAATAATGCACCAAGCCACAAAATTTTCAAAAATAAATTTTTTCTACGGAAATGTGTCACAATTTTTCGAATTAGTCGCCACCAAATCCTAGTTACCTGAGTTGGAAATGTATTGCATCAGTTCTAGCCGATTGTTGCAAAAAACCTGATTTCAGGATTTACACAAAACTTACAATGCCTTTTTTCTCAAAATAAACTCAATGAGGCGTAGGTCCCTTACTGCCCCAAGCCCTTCAATTTTGAGATGAAAATAACGCCTACAAAGAAACTGCAGGTAACGTAATCCTAACTAATAAATTTTGACTGGACAAAATGGCTCCAGGGGAACTTTTTTTTTGTGTGGTCTTCTTTTTGTGGCTTTGGTGGCATAATCATAAATATTGCTTGGCAGCGAACGTGTTAACATCTTGTAAACAAAACGTTGCTGTCGGCTCTTGGACTATTACTGATTCACACAAAATACCAGCGATCTATGAACATACCTCTTTAGTTTGTCGATTCACTCATAGATGGCTATGTAGGTAGCCCGGCTGTGTAGCCGGGCTACCTACCTAGAAAATGCTACATTTACGCTGAGCTTAATCAATTTCAGTTATTTACATAGACGAAATAGATCTACGATTCATTTGAGTACATTTCATATCGATTATATTAAGTAAACAGCTCTCTATGGAATGGATTCAAGCCAGACCAGCCAGGACCTTTAGTTGAGCTGGTTGGTTGTGCGAAAGGCGCAGAAACCTATAAAATGATGAATGAATGAATGAAATTTGTGGTTAGAAAACTTTTAGCGTTTCTCTTTGGTTACCCAACTAAATTGTGTGATATTCCTCGAAGGGCCTTAAAAGTTAAACAGCTGATAACATACAGCTATTGAGATCAACTTATGTCGCGAAAAGTGTGATTTATAACTCTTGATTGAAAAATATATTTCCTCAGCTACAAATGGATGATAAACATCCCCATCACAGATAAATGTCCAAACAAAAGTAAATATGAAAAAAAATATTTCAGCACGGGTGGTGGTCAACGAACCCAGCCAAAAAGGGTTATCTATTCATACAACGGAATTATATCCGTCCAAATAAGAACAGCACGTATTTAAACGCCATCAGCTGTCTTGTGGATGCCATGTTCTTGGATGTATCTTTTATCTCTCTCTAATTTATTCGCCTTGTCTAACTGCAATCTTCTCTAGGAATATTCACTGCTACTACCTGTCGTAACAGTATCAGATATTTCTAAAAGATTAATTTATTTAATTTGTATAACTGTCTCCTAAACCTACAATGAACATATTCATACCAAGGTATAAATAAATATGCAAAATGTCTGATTTAAGCTTACAGAATAGTAGTGTGTTATTACAGAAGAAGCCTATTTGACATTTGGCTGTCGTTAACAAATAATTGGCACATATTTTGGCACTGATAGAGAAGGCATAAAAATTAACCAATCGCTTAACCCCAAGTGTGCCCGCAATATTTTCTGTCATTTTGATTCAAAGCGTCCTCCTGTAAAAAAATTAAAAAATATTAGGTATCTTCAGATATGATTCAAAGTGCACACAATTTTTCAGTGAGAGTATCCGTTGGAGCATCCAAAACAAGTGAAGCATTACTTTCGTAGTATGAACAGTGGTTCAATCTTTGGAACGGGTCATGTTAGGAAGCTGAAATTTATGGTGATTAAATAGAAGCATGAATAATATAGTTTTAAATGACAGCTGAAAATCTCAAGGTGACGTCTGGGTGCCATCTTGGATCGTTCTGTCATGATTCAATGTTCATTATGTGACACCTATGCGAGTCTATGTCAGTACTCAATAAGCGAGGGTTGTTACAGCTTCTGTTAATTATTTTTTATAATTTCTGTCGACCCTAAATACGAGAGCTTAAGGTGACTTGGGCTATTTCCGGTGGTCTGGTGTAGGCATTCTGCGGCCCACTGCCCGATTCTGTGACTTAATTTCACATGCCGAGTTGCGGGTTTATAGGGTGGTGGGTTTTTTTATTAGATGATAGGTTACCTTGCACGCCCCTCACCACTTCCACTTTGGCCACGCCCACCGCGTGCTCTGATTGGCGGATCAGACGGCGGGAAATTTGAACGGGGTTGATGGTATATGTTGATTGACGGCCCCCGCTAGTTGGCGCACCCGACCGGAAGTGATTCATACAGCCGACGATAGTAAGGTGTAGTATACAGGGGGAGCCAAGAATGTTTTATATAGGGTGAGTCAAAAGGTAGGCTCTCGCGCGCGTGTGCGCGCGTGTGCATGGTCCTCGTTCTGGTTGGTGCTGGCGCGGGCGTACTACGGGGGGTGTAGATAGCGTTTGTGGCGTTTGTGGCGTTCGTGGTAGGTGTTGGGGTAGCTGATGCGCGGGTAAGGTTGCGTTGTGTACTTTGGGGATAGGGATATTTTTCAACAGAATAGATAGGAAAACTCTTGTTGGTTTTTTCTCACCCTCTCGGGGATCTAGCCGTGGACATAACTACACTCAACCATCGAGCTGAGGGGAACCGTCTGCAGGGATAGCCTGAGGTAAATTTGGGTGGGACTCACGCCTGTGAGGAGCAGTTGCCCATTTTTGTGAACCCTCATTATTTGACCTTCGGGTTCTACCTTTGGGTTTTACCTTCAGGTTGCATCTGGGACTTCAGACTCTCGGTCGCCTATCGGGTTCTACCTTCGGGTTCTAGCTTCCGGTTCTACCTACGGGTTCTACCTTTAGGTTACAGTTGGGACTTTCTGTGCTCTCGGTTGTCTACCAGTAAAAGCCAAGCACCTGCACATTTAGCTAGGGGGGTAGTGCACAAATTAATTCTCTTTAGACTGTCCTCTTTGTATCTTATTACATATTTGGGGACCATTTAGCCAAGCACTGTACGCATAGAAAGAAAAAACATAATATCTACATGCATTGCTGAGTTCTTAACTTTCTGAAAGTAGAGAACAAAGCTTAGTGCAAAACTTGAGATACATAACGTATATAGGACCAAAGATATATAACATTCTGCCAGAACACTTGAAAAAGATGAAAAATATTGAAACATTTAGTACCACCTGCAGAGAATATATTCTTGAGAATGCTGTACAATTTGAAAGGTTTTTCTAATGATTTTTTGTACCATAGTACGATTGAACTATTGTTCGGGATATTGAGGTTGATTATTATTTTTCTTTTTATTGTATTTTATAATCCAATAAACAGCATTTTCTTTTCATTTGTAAGTCGGCATGATGAAAGCACATACAGGTAGTTTAAACCATCCAGATGCATCCTTCTGTCATCAGGATGTCCTTGATGAAGAGGAATTATATTGCTGTGTTATATATTTATGTGCATTAATAATTTTTGTATATAATCTTTATTAAATATTATTGTTATTATTATTATTGTTATTAAAAGGGTGCATACAGGGATCTTCTGCATACACATCTATTATTGCTTCCGAAGGCCATCATTTAAAAATACAATTTTCCAAACCTATACTACCCTTTACCTGTTTATCTCTGTTGAAGCAATCCATGTACATTCTTCTAGTAAAGTTATTCATAGTGGCGATATAACAAGGCAAAGATGTGTTGTATACTATTTCTTTTGGGTCTACTAAATAGGTTGGGGCTGGCCTGCCTTTGCATGGTCCATGGTCATTGGTAGCCAGGAAAATGAGATTCGAGTTTGGAATTCTATCCACTACGTATGGCCTGCAAAGGTTTTAGAATAATTAACGTTGCTGAAGTAAGAGGCTTTACTTTATGATTGGATAATTTTCAATACAGACTTAAATGGTTATCTATTTGTCGGAAGGTTGTTTATGATCATGCACTATTTTTGGGCTTATATAATTATAAGTAATAACATGTGGAGTTCGACACTTGTTAAGGAAGATGTAATAAGATTAATGTTTTATTGAAACTTAGAAGTTATGTATGAAAGATGAAGACAAATGTCCGCCTCTAGAAGCCGCACAACCCTGAGCCTTCTTGATTATATTTTCCATCTCTTTTTGGTACGTTTCGGGAGGAATATTTTCAATCGCTTCCGTAATATTGTTCTTCAGCTGTTCCACAGTATTTGGTTTGTTGGTATAAAACCTATTTTTCAAATATTCCCATGAAGAAAAGTCAGGAGCCGTTAAATCCGGTGGCCTTGGCGGCCAGTTGACATCACCAAATCGAGAAATTAAACGTCCCGGAAATAGCATAGTACTTCCAAAATTATTCAAATTCCAGATGCTATTTTTTTATGTTACTTGGCATGGACATCACATAAAGCCATGTCACTAATGTTCGCATGTTTGTCTGTCATCTGTCCCGTTATCCTAGACAACTCATAAAGTTTTGATACGAAACTACTACTATGTCAAGAAGGAAAAGCGCTACGGATTTTGAAAACCGGTCTAGAGCCTTGATCTTTTCATCCAAGTTGCTAATCATTTCCGGATGTAGTTTGTGATTCACAACAAATCCAAAACTCCGTTTTTCGACGTTTGTACGCTTCCTGACTACGTTCGGCTATAGTCAACATGCAATTTATTGGCTTAAAATTCTCTAATCTCGTACTCCTGGATCGTATGTCATTCAACTGATATGACTCAGTATATTTGTCTGAGGAAATTTTACAATGTATAGGAAATAGTGATTAATCTACTTTGCTTACATGTGGTAGAACCCGGTTTGATATTATACTAACCAATCACACTCAAACTTGATCTTCGGATCAATATACCGGCTCAAAGGAAACTTCACAGACTTGTTCAAATTGAAAAGCCAGCGTTCTTGGTCACAAGGTGTTGGCAACGTTTTGATTATCGCTTGTTTGTTGAACGCTATCATGTCTTCGTTGATGCTTTGATAGACAAAATTTTCCTCTCCACTGACAACTCTAAACAGGAACCACACGGTCGTGAGAATCCATTTTCCTATTTGAAGAAGTTGATCTGGAAGCTGTAAAGGATAATAAACACCGCAATTTGAGCGTTGCTTATAGAACCGGCTATTGCTGTCAGTCTGACATTACTTTTAACAGCAAAACTTTAGTCTTTAGGCTGATAAATGCCAAAGCCACCACGAGATGGAGCTGGCAATTGGAACTTGGCTAACTCAAGCTTCGTATCACCGCACAACCATGCAAAAAAGTCTGACAGTTTAATAAGTTGACTTGTTTTTAAAACATCATGTTCAATAAATACACTTTTACTGATACGCCTGTTGTTTATTATACCTATTTAATTACAACGTTTTTACGATGTCATTTAGCATTCACTAGACGTCGTTACGACGTTTGTAATATCCCAAAAAGTTTTCAAAACGATATACTTCTGTATAACTTTTGCGATCATACTGAGCATATCTCAACGTATAGACCTCAATGGAGAAGCCTGGAAGTCCGTAAGCAAAGCGCGTTGATCGATCAGCATGAGTATCCCCATACTATGATTATATAGATCTAAAACTATATTATAGTCTCACCCCAAATCGAGTTGCAGAGCTCTTAGCTCTTTTCCGAGCTCTTGCTGCAGCTCGCTGTTTCTCTTTTCTGATCCTGACTCTTTCTTCCTCCGGGATCTTTTTTGGTGGCAATTTTTGGCAGATTGCCTGGTAATCGAACATCCTGGTTGGAATGTACACTTTGTCGTCTATCAGATCTGCCATGATATCAGGTCTGATATCACCTGTAAGCAGATTACCCTAACTCGATTGATTATCTTTACAATTTTGAGAAGAAATACTTTTTAGATAATTTTCTTTACTACCGGTTTTCTAAAGATTAATTTCTTTTATCTGCAACCAAACTGTAAGGTATAGTCTATATACATTTTTCTAGGGTCAAGTCACACTTTCTAGCTCACGGATTCCTCAATGCCCTAAGGTGCTAAAGTACCGTCAGCGTTCGCTTTGCTTAAATTAGCATTTGTTGAACACAATACAAATATTCAATAAACTGTCCTTGTTTATTCATTGGCAGGCAACGACACTACCGGTGATCAAATATAGTATTTATTTTTGACTCCGCGTTAAAGCCAACTCTATTTTTTTATTACAGCTTCTAGAATTTATCTCGAGTGTAATCGGCATTTGTATCCTTGACGTGTTAGAGTCCGAGGATCTTCACACCTTGACGTGGGCCATAACCGTCCTCTCAATGCTCTAGTTACATAAATAGCTAACCTTTATCTTTAGTTCTTACCAATATATTTTCCTATGTAGTCTGGTTGATCGCTGACAAGGACGTAAGCGTTATTGTCCAAAATGTAACAGCTCAGTCGTTCTATCTGGCAAGTTATTTTGCAGTTTTCGATACCCTTCTCACACTACGAATAATAATGAGAAATATCCTGAAGTGGAGTGGAATTGTAAAACAGCTCAAAAATTATTAATTTTCTCTAAAAACTTGCAAAATATAAGCTTAGAATACTCAATGAGGGAACCAAACTGAGTGCTGATAGGGACGTTTACCTTTGTTACTACATCGCTGTAAATTTCATACATTTTCATGTGGTTAAATTGTAATCCTACCACAGCAACAGGAGTTTTACTGCTACCCTCTCCAACAAACACTGCCTTTGTGCTTGTTATCATCGTTGTGGTATCATTTGCTAAAATAAAAATTCCATCGTTAGGTTTCTTCTATCTTTCACAGTTGATACTTCAAGATGACTATAGGTTCCTTAACTTGATCTCCAAATAACCTCCGAGGTCATTATATAGGTTAAAGATAAATCACCTTTTTAACACGCTTTTATTAGCTTATTAGCTGTAACGGAATCTTTCAATATAATTTTCACCAATTTCAAGAAACCTGATTAACTAGAAAATAATAATATAAATTTTTGTATAAAATATCAATTTTAAAATTTGGAAAAAATCGGAACTAAAAATTTAGAAAATACTTGGAATATTCCGAAATTTGAAAAAACAATTGGAAATTTGGACGATTCTAAATTTGAAGAAAATTGGAAATAAATTTACATTCAATAGATTTAGAGCATTCAGATGTATTGTCAAAAATAAAATATACCAAAAGTAGAAGTTTTTGATTATAAGTAATTTTGTCATCTTGAGTTAAAAAATTCTGAAAATAAATTATCGTTTAAAGAAGCTAAAAACACGCTTTAGTAGTTAATCGAATTAAGAACAACCTCTTAGTGCAATAGAATGTCCAAAAGTCTAGTATGACTGTTTAATCTGAAATAAGTTTAATAATAATAATAATAATAAATTAAGATATTAACAAAAAAATTTAATTAGGTATAGTAAAAACGCAATTGGCTATATACGTATTTTCATAATAACTCTAATTTTGTAAATAGCAGCTAAAAAAATAAGTCTAGCAATTAGTATCAAGCACCACACGCTTTTTTAGTGTAATTGATATTTTTGTTGATCTTAATTTTTATATTGATCTAGAAAATTAGTTTCTAGTTTTTTTACTATAATTTATTGATCCTTCGTTATAACCTTTAGGGAAATTTGTTTGGTTGTCTAGGTTTCGAGGTGTTTGTGTTCTCTTCAGACGTTCCGGTTCATGCTGATTGAAAGATTCATGACCTCTTGACTTCATGTATGGACATATACTCTGATGAGCCATCTCAATCAGTTTATCATTCTGCTGTCAAAAATGGAAGACGCTATTTGAAATTGCAAAGTAGACCTACAAATCATATCTATGTCATATTTGTGGTATCAATAAATTACTATTTTGTTGTCCTGAAACTGTTAAGTTACTTATAAATTTTACAATTATGTCACACTTTTTGAAGATATCGAATAAGTTCCTGATTCATGTGACTTCTAGATACATTTAATACTATAAATGCTATAAAGAATTATTTACAAGCTGATCAAATCTACTTATTTAACTAACCTAGAGTTTCAAATGGTACTGAATAGATAAACATATCTTGATCATACGTAAATTCAACTGATCTTTTATACCAATCTTCTTCTATAGCTTTAACTTCTCTCTTTTCGAAAGGTTCTACAATCGGGTCGATAAAGTTGAACCTTTTCCATCTGGTCAACCCAGAATGAGTTGATAGGAATATGTGGCTTATCAGATACTCTTCTATGTACCTGAAAAACTTTGATTACTGTGGACATACATTTAATACATGAAGCAGTACACTTTCTGGAATTATTAACATACAAATGAGAAAAAAGTGAATACCAAAAAACTCCACAAATAACTAAAATGTAGTTTGTGTCTTAATTGAGTAATACATGTAAAGCTTTACTATTGATACTTACAGTTTGAAGCCCGAATCCGTAGAATCAAACCAACTGGTAGCCACTAAATCATAAAACAGGGCATTCAGTAGATCGGCTAAAAAAAATGAATAGTTGGAAGCGTCAAGTAAACCAAAAACAGTACTTACATTTCTCATTTTTAATAAAAGCTGTTTTCACTTTTTCAACTGGAGTTTGGTCTACTTTACACTTTTGACAATACACCCTAAAAGAAAACTCAGAATCATCCTGAAAGTACATATTTGGATAACATAACAAAACCCTAGTAGATTATTATCTATCATCAATTTGACGATGCCGTCTTACCATTCAGGATGTACAGTCCAAAATGTAGAATTGTTGAGCGCATTGTAGATCTTTTCGACAGGATTGGGTCGTGGTATGTTCCCAGCATCAACCTTTGTAAAGCCATACTTATCGGGCAGTACAATGCCCAATGTGAAAGGTCCGATCTTGGAATAATAGTAATGCCTTTTTGAAAGAACCACCCTTTTCTAAAATCAAAAACAACCCTCACTTTTACATCTTCGGATAACTCTTGCAATATTTTCATTTTCAATGGATGAAATTTATGGAGTTTAGTAAGAGTTTGTACAGAACCTAATGAAATTCCAGTCGCAGCAACAGTTTTGCGTAATGAAGTATTAGGATTTATTCCAAAACGACACAAAACTTCAACTTGAGCGGCTTCATCCAAAACCCTCCTATGATCACGTTTGAGTAAATATAGTAACAAGGTCGTATGCGAAGTTATCTTCTAATTAGAATCATTTCCACTCTTTCGGAAGTGAAATCTGAATCAATAAATTAATTTTAATTATCCCAAGATTGTCACAAAGATAACTAAATTCTTTCTTTCCCTTAGCAACAAATAACTAAACAGGTATAACTATTAATACAGGATATCTATGACGATGAAAGGAATTCGGAAAAAATTCGGGTTGTTGTTTGGTTGTTGCCACGTCTAATCTTCGGAGATGCTGTTCATGTCGGTAGTTTCCGGTTTAAATTATAAACGAATTTTAGATTTGGCAAACCCTAAAGGGCAACATTTTGAACACTTAATAAAAAGTGATATTTGCGTGTGTTTTTGTTTTCTATCTGAACTAGTTAAGGTAAATGAAGATTTTTCTAATTTTCTCGAAAAAGAATCGACTGATTTTAAAAAATCAAACCTCAAAATGAAGGACTTCGAAAGAACTTTCAAACAAACTTGTACTCGGTTCCTCTTGTCATTTAAAATTTTTAAGAGAATGACCCTGGGGGGCCGAGGGTGAAAAAATTGTCGCCTTTGACAAATCTATTGATGTGTCTGGGCGTTTTTTCTTTTAATCAATGGTTTTCGATAAATACGTGGTGGAAAGTTTTCAAATGAACACCCTGTATGTGGTTTCATTTGAAGGCCACTAGAACGTAGACATTATTTTAAAATGTAGCCAAAACGTTATTTCAAATATCCTAAGCCACGCAATCTCATACAAGCCTGGATCGGGAACCGTTTCTTCATCCTCGATATCATAGAATAATTATATCGCAAATAAGGATACATTAACGTACTTTACTTGGAAATATCCAATTGAGGGGTTTCTAGGAAAAACAACACTTGTCAGAAAACAAAAAATGTGGCAAATTATCAAAAACTGTAAGAAGGCATCTTATATATATTAAGGTGTATATCAAGAAAAGAAAACGGATTTGTGAATTAAAAAAAATACAAATGTTGTTTCTTAGGAATTTTTTAGAAAGAGGCTTGTAAACCAAGAATATTTTCCAAATATATTTATTGAAACGAAACTTAAGTATTTCAGGAAAAAAACGTATTCTTCAAAAGTATTCTAACTGTATAACAATATTAAATATTCTATGTCACTATTTCCACTGTTGTTGCGGTCATTGTCTATTTCTGCATCATTGTCTTCAGTATCTTGTTTATTAGTATTTAAAAACCTTTTATAAAACATTATATGTTCAGGTTTTTTAATAGACTTTGATAAATTTAATAGATGCTCAATTTTGGATTGTTTTAATGGAACTGATTCATTGTGGTTTTGCGTCAAACGAAGTTCTCTTGGCAAGGATTTGTTATTTCGTATGTAACTACGTTCCCACACTCCAGAATAACTTTGTCTCGTCTATCCTGGTTCATTTCTATCATACTTAACCATCCTTGCTGTTTTTTACCGATGGTTTTGAGTTTTTTAGAAAGTATGGAGAAATATTGCTTGATAAATCAAATATCATATTTGAGTTTACGTTAACAAGTTCATATGGGGATGGTTTTTCCCGTGCGTCCTTTATAATCTTGTCCCATTCTGAAGGTACTTCAACGGTTGCAGTTTTCTTGTTTTTCTCAATGATAGAAAAATCTCTGTCATTTGATAAAAAACAATATCCTCTAACTGGAAATATGTGAATAATACTTTCGAACATCTGCAAACAGTGAACTAACACATACAAAAAACGCATGAGAACATAATTTGCCCAGCACACCCATCGCTGAGCAATATTATTTTTTTGTGGTAACTTCATGGCTGTTTAAAAACTGGTAAAGTAGAGAAGCGACGTCATTTTGTACTTTTTTCGCAACAGTTTCGTCATAGCAGTACATTGTTGCATTATCATTTCCCTCATTATGTATTCCAAAAGCATACTAGTAGTACCACATCTGAATGGCGTAAAAAGCTTCATTTGTGCGAATATGGGGAACTGGTAAGTTCTGCATAAAATCTAAAGGTATACAACAGTAATAGTCAGGATTTTGCCTAGCTAAATTTCGGTAATGCTTCTTTAGCTGATAAAACTTTTCGGCTTTACAAAAATGTAGATTTTTTTCAGTCTTTAAATTTGCTTTTTTTTTCTATGTCTGTTTCGAGGTTTATTTGTTGCATTAAGTTGTTGCATATGCCACAGGTATCACTTTTTGGAATACCAAACTTCAACTTAAAATCTCTTGTAAAAACCTGGCGATAAGCTTTATAAGTGACTCGCATATCTGCAATTTCTTCACAAAACATTTTATACATTTTTTTGCAACTTAAAGTTTCTGGTAAGTAGTATACATTTGGATTATCTCTACGAGAATAATGAGACTGTCGATACTTAAAAGATTTTATATGATCACGAATAGTAGTGTCAGTTTTCCGAGGTCTATTTGCACACCGTCTGTCCTTTGGAGACTTTCCTGTTTTTACAATACATAACCTTATTCGTCGCAATCTTTCTTTTGAGATAATATATATTACAAAATGCTTTGGCACACACCAGCACTTCATTGGCCCCATATCTTATTTTGTATTTAAAGAAGCTAGATGTTGATGTTTTTGTAGTAAAGGCTCATCCACAGCATCTTTCACTTCATGATTTTCATTATCCTGTGGCACATCTTGATGTCTTCTACAACGACGTCTTTGCCGTGGGGGGGCAAATGATATTAATCCTAAAAAAACGTATTATAAGGTACCTACTATTAAAGCATATTGTTATATTACCAGCAAGATGATTGTCGTGGGCATCTTTAGATTCCAGCATATTAAATTTGGTTAAAGTGGTATTTCTTTTGTCTTCTGTAATCTTCTCAAAACATTTTAATCGAGCACATCTATAAAATTTGTAATATTTAAACAAAGCTATAAAATATATTCCTAAAGTCATAACTAACCTGCAATCTGGCCCAGTAACTCTAGCTTGCTTGGCTATTTTCTTATTATTAAAAAAAGGTTCACCTTTAACCCTGGCTATTTTGTCCAATGTCCTTTTATTGGTTTTTGGCTTCTTTCTTTCTGGTATTTCAGTATTGTTCGCTGGTTTTTGTCTTTCATATTTGTGATAATAAAATAATATTAATTTGACACAAGACACGTTTAACTAATAACTAAACTAACTTTGTATAATATAACGTTTCTCAAAAAAACAACACATGTCATTGACAAGTGTTGTTTTTATGGGAAACCTATGTTGACTAATGTCGTTCTTATGGAACCGACGATTCTTTAAACGCATTTTAGACGGAGATATGTGCTTTTGACGGGAAACTTAAACATCAGAAAGTAGCATTGAAACATGTAGAACACAACAGCGTTGCCAACTCAATTTCAACAAAGAGTGACTAATGTTGTTTTTCCCGGAAACCCCTCAATTAAAATAGACATTACAGAGGCGCCAGAAAATGATTGAAGATCCATTGTCATCTGTGAGATAGTATCAGAACCAAACATTAGCTCTTTCCAAAGTGGATTTCTAATTTAATATTTGTGATATACTACCGTCTTATAGATGGCGCTAGTATCTCCCAAATCCCTTTGTGCACGTAGGAATACAGTATATCGTTCGCTATTATCAAGTAGAATACTTTAAGCTTACGATATTAGCTATGCCAATTTATGTCTCTGACAATCGACTGAGAAAAAAAATTAACTAAACCAATTACATCTTTAATTGAGCCAAATAGGGGAATTAAATACCTAACTGACAGCTAACAAGTTCAATTAGTTCATTTAAACTCCGATATCTGAAACAGGTTACCTTAATCCATGAAACTAGTTAGATTAATTAAATTTTATAGACCGTTTTATTTTAGTTTAATTAAACCGAACAATTTAGTTACTTGAAACTTCATTACGGTTAATAAAGTTTTATTGACCAAGTTTTAGTGTATGTAGAGCCAATACCAAATGACAATAAAGCGGAGTTCCTACTAGCTACGAACCAAGTAGAATAGACCAAGTTTTACTTACCATATCGTTTAAGGGAAACTTAACATTCAGCGTTATTGGGATAGTCTCATTCTGATTGACCAGTAATTCACGTAGCTATAACGAAAATTATTTATTTCAATTACAGGCAGTAAGAATGATTCTATTAGAATGCAGTCATACACAGTTAGACATAAGTAAGAGGAAGTCGTTAATTTTGGAGCTAAAATATTCGCTGTATTGCTGAATTCGCTTAATATACTAAGTGACATATAAATCCGAACACCCAGTTTAAATGGTTTTATTTTAATAAAAGTTGGTGAATGTATTTATCTTACTGTAAATAACAAGTGAAAAAATTTTCAGCCTTATCAGTTGGACATTCCGGTTTTTATACTGCTTTTTTTTTAATTCACTAACGCTCTAAAAATGAATATTTCAGCCGCAGTAAAGAATCAACGTTGGCGGATTCTGGTTCTTGACATCCTTTACGATCGGTTACGATGCCTAGAGTACGGAGACCTGTACGATTTCGTCAACTTAGTGAGTTTCATAGGGGCCGTATAGTGGGACTTCGGGAAGCTGGACTTTCTTTTCGGGCAATTGCAGTTAGAGTGCAAAGAAGTGTAGACACTGTGGTTAGGTGTTGTCAGGCATGGCTTCGAGAAGGCCGTACGCAAAGAGCAAGGGGCACTGGACGCCGCCGTAGAACAACAGACCGTGAAGATCGTCGCCTAAGATTATTGGCCTTAAGGGACCGTTTCTCCACTACCAGGTCCATTGCAAATGAATGGTTTGCAGAACACGGAAGACCTATTGGCATGCGAAGTGTTTACCGACGAATGAGAAGTTTTGGCTTGTTTTCACTGGGTCCTCGCTTTAACTCGAGAACACCGACGTAATCGCCTTGAGTGGTGCAGACAACGGTCACTCTGGGATCAGGAATGGAACAGTATTGTCTTTAGTAACGAGTCTCGATTTTGTTTAGGCATGCACGATGGTCGTGCCAGGGTTAGAAGGCGACGTGGTGAAAGGAGGAATCCACAGTTTTTTGTTGAGAGACATGTTCATCACATAGCACACATTCCAATAGTTCATAATAAGTAATAAAATGTTGAAAAGCTACAAACGTTTTAAAATTAGGCTTTTTAAATGTATCATTCTATTTTTTTTTACTTATTCGATAAAAAATGCAATTTTCTGTAAAAAATCTCCTAGTAATGAAATGTGCGAATTACTTAAATAATATCTCTAATTAACAAGCTTTCATTTGAGGTATTAAGCGTTCAATTATCTGAAGTACATGCAGAGAAACAACAATGACACCCACAGAGGCTGGATTTCTAAGGAATTTGTATTACCTGTTTGAACAAGTTGCTACTGTCCTCAAAGGACTCGCATGCCATGATTGTTTTATGGCATCGGCTCGACGAGGAAGCGAGCGAGAAGAGCTGACTTAGTGGAGGAGTGAGAGAGAGAGAGAGCGCTATTATTATTCATCATTGTAGTTACGCCATCGTCGCACGCCGAGGGAGAATTAGGTTTAGTTGGTATCAACTACTGCGTACGCGCACACGTTTTACGCACGATTATTATTTTCGAGTTACCCAGTTCATTTCGAGTGGTTTCTTTATCATTATGGCAGACGCAGAAGATCCGCCAGGACCTCGCCATAGCCAGCACGGGCAAAGTTTTACAAATGAAGAATACGCAGACATAATGTTCTGTTGTGGACTTTGTAACGGCGATTCTGCAGCAGCTCGCCGTGAATATCGGCAACGTTTCCCAAATCGCCGAACACCTCATGTTACTGTGTTTGACTCTGTGTATCGGCACATCCGCCAAACCGGGCGTGTTCAAAAGCAACATACTGATGCTGGTCGACCCCGAGTCTATCCTCCTGACGATGAAAAGGAAATCCTTCGTGTGTTTCAGGAAGACCCTACTACGTCTACGCGCTTTGTGGCTGCTCAGTTGGGTATATCACAAATCACAATACAAAGTGCAAGATCACTACACGCCTGTGCATGTGATTGAAGAGGGCGATCCTACAAAACGATTAGATTTCTGCAGGTACATGTTACATGCAGATACAGAAGATCCAGACTATTTTAAGAAAATTCTGTGGACCGATGAATCGAAGTTTGATAATGACGGAATCACTAACTACCGTAATGCTCATTACTGGGCTGATAAAGAAGCTTTAAACCCCCGAAAAATAAGACCGACGGGGTCTCAGAGTCGGTTTTCAGTCAATGTGTGGATGGGCATCATTGATGGATATTTAATTGGACCTCATTTTCTGCCCGCCAATTTAAATGGAGAAGTGTATGTGAAGAGTTCTTGAAAAATCACTTGTTTCCATTAATGGAAAACGTCCCATTGGCGACGAGACAAAATATGCGGTTCCAGCACGACGGTTGTCCCGCACACTACAGTAGATTAGTACGGGCGTATTTAGACTCTAAATTTCCAAATCAATGGATTGGCAGAGGCGGGCCCATTGCCTCGCCAGCAAGGAGCCCAGATCTCACACCGATGGATTACTATGTGTGGGGACATATGAAAAGCCTACGATGTTTCGCCCGTATCAACGCGCGATGAATTAATTACAAGGATAATCAGTGCAGCTGACCAAATAAACAGTCGCTTAACAACTAGAGTCACCAAAAGTGAATTACGTAAGAGAATGGGGCGTGTATTCGTAACAGGGGATTACAATTTGAGCAGAATCTGTAAAATACTAAAGGAAATGTAATTAAATAAAACTGTAATTAAAATAAATGCCTTTTATTTATCCTCCGTAATTATCGTTCGTACAACTTTACTCATCTTTTTTTAATTGTATGTCTTTATACTTGAGTTAGTTGTAAGTTTTATACCTCAAATGAAAGCTTGTTAGTTAGAGATATTATTTACATATTTGCACATCTCATTGCTAGGAGATTTTGTACAGAAAACTGCATTTTTTATCAAATTAGTTAGCAAAAAAATAAGAAAATCATACATTTCAAAAGCGTAATTTTAAAACTTTTGTAAGTTTTCAAAATTTTATTACTTATTATGAACTATCGGAATGTCCGCTATGCGACGATAACAAAAAACTCAAAATCAAACATGTTGTTTTTTTGTATTTCAAATTTAGCCGTCTAAGATCGGAATAAAAAATAAAAAAAATAAAATTCAAATAACTCTAAAACGGTTAAATTCTGGATAGGACATTATAGGACAAAATCGGTTGCTTTTGACCTAATTTATCACCCCTTAACAGAAATACATGATATTATAAGTCTATGTGTCGCTTTTTTACACGCCTTTAGTTAATTTTAGCCGTAGCCCGATGAGCTGAAATTTTTTTACACACGTTTGGTTTACATGACAATAGAAAATTTTTAATCCAATGTGGTGGATGCTACAAAATGACTATTTATCAGCTCCATAGCAAACCCTATGGTATGGTTATTAAATGGAAGGACTTGATAGGAGGAAAGCAAAAGACGTCATTCTAGATCCAATATGGCGCCCGCCACGAAATTGCAATTTACGTTTTTCATGATTACCCCAATGATATGGGTATCAAATGAAAAGGACTGATGAGAGTAGTTCCATACGCATAGTGAAATCATTCTAAATCCAATAAGGCGACATCTTCAAGATGGCGTTTCTGATTAACATAGTCGCCGCTACGATAGTGACTCAAGTCCAATATGGCGGTCGCTAAATGACCACATAATTTCCATCGTCACCGCTATGAATATCATATAAAAGGGCTTAATCAGAGAAACACAATAAGCAAATCACTTCATCCTAAATTCCATATGGCGATCGCCGAAAAATTTCAATTTATCACTATATGATTTGTTTCGAAATTTTGTAATACATACAGCTAAAGTAAGAAATTTTATGGACTCCTATTAATAAAATATATGGAAATTAAATAGAAACTAACAAACTAGTTATTTTACTTACTGACGATTTAAAAATACTTCGACTGGAAATATTTAAATGTTATGATGCTTCATCATCATTCTGAAAATTTTAAGATATTTTCAATCGGAAAAAAGTATTTACAAATTTTTAATTTAGCAGACAATGAAACGAACTAAGGATTTAAAAATATTTTTTTCGATTGGAAATATTTAAGCATAATAAATTTCCGTAATCATTCTGAAAAATTTCTTAAATATTTTCAATCGGATAAAGATATTTAAAAATTTTTATTGGATACATTATCACCTAAATAAAAGCTTGTTTATAAAAATGTATTTTTCTTTTTTCATTTATTTTTGATTATTCCTTACTTTGATAACTGCATCTCCGAAAAGTCTAGGTTCCTTGTCGTCGTCCAAAACCTCAACCTCTAAAATATCTACTCGGTTAAAGGTAGGCTTCAGGATGTTCTCGAACTAAAACGCAACCATGAACATTTGGAAATGCAAATACTCATCAGAATATAAGTACCTCGGTACGATGCTCAGGATGGATCAGAATGTAGCCATTATTTGTGACGACGAAGGCGTAACCGTTTACTCCTAGCTGAAAATACTAAAAGTTATTAAAAAGTTTCAGCGAACCGGGAAACTTACCCGATAGTAGGGAATGCGTTCTTTGAAGTTGTACAGTGGAACATCTATTCCAGCTACCCCAACCAGCTCAGTCTAAAATAGATTTTGAAATTATCCTACGTCATAATCGTTAGAAAAAGTAGGTAATTGGAGGACTTTTTTAATGTTATACGGAATCAGGTTAGGTGCAAGCATGGTCGTACCGAGACCATTGTTCCAGTGGGGGATAAAGAAGCTATAATAACGGAATTATCGATCGTACGTGAGCCAGCTTTTAGCTTCATGAAGATTTTAATAGTTCTTCAGTTTGTTTTATCACTCCTTGCAAAAGACCTGGGAAACATATAGAGAGTATAACAACGCTCTTCCTATGATAATGAAATTATCGATGCTACATGAGCTAACTTCCAGTTTCACGAAGCTGCCAGTAACTCTTGTTGTACCTTGCAGTAACTTGTCTTATCAATTCTTGAAATATTGGTCGAACCTGAGAAGTCTATGAATATAACAATGCTTCTCCTACAATAATGAAATTGAACGAATCGTATCTTATGAGCGCATTTCAATTTGTCTTATCAATTTTTGAAAAACTAATGCACGGGTATCACGTATCTTGAAAAGTGACATTATGCCGATTTTTTTTTGACATTATGCTGTTTTTTTGACATTATGTAGGTTATTCTACAAGATGTTAACTTAGCAGTTAGTTGTCCGTGTTGCCTAAACGTTATGAGGCTTGTTATCAATCTTTGGCTTTGATGTGATGTAAAATCTGCTTCTGAGATAGCATTACTGGAGGTCTAAGCTATAAGTTGTATGTGTTGATGATAATTAATAATAATAATAATTTATTTGCTTTCAATTCAATTACAAATGTTACAGGTGAAATAAAAAACATGGAAATAAATATAAAATACCCACAGAAGGCAAAGCCTGTGCGTGGTGAGATGTCTATCCAATATTCAGTCTATATCAGTATAATTGTCATTATAGGTACAGTAGTCATAATCGGGTGTGCGACGAATCAGATGTTATATATGGAAGTTCAGTTGCTTTAGCTGCTGCATGCTTGGTTATCCTTAACCTTATGCATATATTTAGAACTTTAAAAAAAAAGAAATTCCCTTAAAAAAAGGTTTTAATCGTTTTTATAAATATTTGAAAGAATTACCTGATGTATGTGGAGGCGAGGTATTTCATTAATCCACTTTTTTCGTTCTTTTGTAAACTGCATAGAATTATACTGTTTTAAGATAATAGGCAAATTATACTGATCAACAGCAAAAAAATATCCCAAATAAAATCAACAAAATATTACTATTTTTAATGTGCTAAAACCGGAATGAAACTTATTTTTTCAATATTAGTTCAAGTTTTAGAGATACGGTAATTATATGTGTTCCTGCTGTGACAGTGTTAATATACTGTAATTCACAAGAATGCACGTGCTACATTTTTATATTCGGCAAGGAAAGATGATGTAATCGGCATGATTGTGTTACGTTATACATACGTGTACATTATATTGTTTTATATTAGCCATTTTTTCCTCAGTTGGCTGACAGCGTTCATGCAAGATGTCTCGAAAGTGTGTAAACAATCCAGATCAGTTTTGTTACGTGTGTGGTGATGTGACTTTTGCGTCTCAGAGACGGTCTATTACTCCACTAATAACAAAGGCATATCAGCTTTATTTCGGTTGTAAACTAGGTGATCAAGACAAACAGTGGGCACCCCACATCTGCTGTAATACATGTGCTTCAAGTCTGAGGAGCTGGTTAAATGGCAAAAAACGGTCTATGCGCTTTGCTGTCCCAATGGTTTGGAGAGAGCCTACAAATCATATTAAGGATTGTTACTTTTGCATGGTACCTTGTGTTGGACAAGCCACAGGTATCTCCATGAAACTACCCAAACATACCATCTGCGATGAGACCTGTGCCTCACAGTGACGAAAATCTTATTCCAAAACCCCCAGAATCCTACACTTGCGAATCAGAAAACGAATCAGATCATGGCGATCGAGTGATTCGTCATGAAGATATGCCATCAACGTCAAGAGATCCTGATTTTATACCGAGCACGTCATGCTACCAACCGAACAAAATAACACAGTCAGAATTAAACGATCTTGTAAGAGATTTAGAACTTCCAAAATGTAAGGCAGAGTTACTTGGATCAAGACTGCAGCAGTGGAACTTGTTAGAAGACGATGTTTCGGTATGTGTTTTTCGTAAACGCCACAAAGACTTAGAACCATTTTTCAATATGGAGAATAACTTGGTTTTCTGCAGTAACATTAACTGCTTACTGGCGGCTTTAAATATAAACTATAACCCATATTGGAGATATTTTACCATCTCTTCCTGTAGGGTATGCAGTTCACATGAAAGAATCATATGGCAATATGAAGTACCTATTGACATGCATAAAGTACGATGAGCGCCAATGGCATATTTGTGGCGATTTGAAAGTTGTTGCACTTTTACTTGGGCTGCAGCTAGGCTACACAAAGTTTTGCTGTTTTTTGTGTGAATGGGACAGTCGGGCAAAGGCACTTCATTACCCCAGACAAAACTGGCCTGTTCGTCAATTCCTAGAGCCAGGTCAAAAAAATGTACAGCATATGCCATTAGTAGATTCGAAAAAAAATTTATTACCACCACTGTATATCAAGTTGGGCCTAATGAAAAACTTTGTCAAGGCATTAGATAGAGATGGGTCAGCTTTTCAATACCTGCGTCAGAAATTTCCAAGACTAAGTGAGGCAAAGGTTAAAGAAGGTATTTTTGTTGGGCCACAGATTCGAAATATTTTGAAAGATACACAGTTTGAAAACACTTTAACAGGTATTGAAAAAACTGCTTGGAATGATTTCCATCTGGTGGTCACTAATTTCTTGGGAAATAGAAAAGCTGACAACTATAAAACCCTTGTCAAAAATATGCTGTTATCGTATCAAAAGATGGGCTGTAATATGTCTCTTAAGATACATTTCCTACACTCACACCTGAACTTTTTTCCTGACAATTGCGGAGCCGTAAGTGATGAGCACGGCGAACGTTTTCATCAGGATATTTCAACAATGGAAAAAAGGTACCAGGGAAAGTGGAATCCTTCCATGCTTGCAGACTACTGTTGGACTCTTGGTAGAGATGCATCGACGATCCATAAAAGAACAACAAAAAGACAGCGCATATAGTGATTCTTATAAGTATATGAATCTTGTTACTTTTTTTAATATATCCTTAAAAATAAAAAGTTTTTTTTCTAAACCGCAACTAATTTTTTTATTTCATTGTCATTTTTGGATTCAGCGCCCCAAAATTAACAAAGAACTGCACTTTTCCCACAAGATACAATTAAAAGACTAAAATTTGTTGTCCAGTGATTATAAAGCTTCGGTCCTAGGTATTGGAATGATCTCTGCATGACATTGACATGAGGCTTTGGCAAACATGCTCTCACTTTGTGGCGGGTATCACAGTCATGCTCAGTTTGGCGTAACTTATGTTTTAGTTGGTGCTGCTTCATGATGGTGTGGATAAAGTAGAGCTGTCCAATATCATGCACTGCAGTTTCGGTATATAATTGGTCTGTTGGGTATGTTCTTGGCTTATTATACATTACCTTCAGAATGTACTTTTGTATTGTCTCAAGATTTTTCATATGTGTCTTACTCGCTGCTCCCCACGCGATCACACCATACCTCAAATGGCTCTCAACTAGTGAATAATAGAGTACTTTCATTTGATACAAGTGATAGTATTTCATAAGATATTTAAATTTGTAAAGTATTGTACGCAATTTTGTAAATACGAAATGTATGTGCGTGTCCCATTTAAGGGTAGAATCTAGGTACACTCCCAGATATTTAACCCGAAAAAGTTAGTTGTAATTGTTCATTTTGGTTCTTCTTCAGCTTTATGTTTAAATTTGAATATTTGGGCATATATCGTTCACAGGACGAAAATGGTATGTAACAATTTTTGTTGTAATTTACGGCTAAATGTCATTATATTGGGTTCTTGTCTCAAATACACTTAATTGAGATTCAAAGCTAGAAATTAGTTGGGCATCCACTTTTTCTTATCCATTCTGGAAATAACATATACAAATTTGCTGAATTTCAAAAATGTGAGAGAAGAAATAATTATATACACTGTCGCATTACAAGCCATATACATGCTATCAGTAATTACACGCAACGCGGGCGCGGTGATGATTTCCCGCAATTCTCCTCAGCTTTTGGTAATTTATAAATTTGAACATAACCTCTCTTCAGAAAACACAACATATAAATAACCCTTCATATTCCGCATATTCAGTAATGATTTTCTCACACAGCAAATATCACTAATTTTATACACATGCAGACCAATACACATAATCATCCAGATTCAACCAACTTTCTTCTCACAGATAAAAGCTACAGACGCAGATTACTCAGCCTCACAAAGCTATGCAACCAATAATGCGTAGTTTAGTTGAGTGATTTCTCGACAGATGGACGTTCACAGCGATCCTAGTGAGCAAACGTGGAATGACTGTTTGCGCCCTAAAAACTACCTAGTCTGCAAGTTGATATCTTATAGTTTTTTTTTACGTTTTATAGGTTTTTACATGATACCCGTGCCGACCTGTGGATGGACAACTACATACCTCGTCCTCTCTTCTGCCATATACTGGTAATGAAACCGTGGTCATATATTTGTATGCACTCTTGCCTTCGTACTTCTCGTATTCCTGAAACCAGAAACGTAAGAAATATTCTGAAAGTTCCTATACAAGTCACACCATGTCGCGAGCACTGTTTCAAAAACGTAGAACAAAAATTCACTAGGTCACTTGTTCAGTTTCCATCTTCAAAATTAATCAGTCTTCAGAAAGTGGTCATATACCAGAAACAGTCTAAGAACAGATGCAAATAATACTAGTAGTATTTTTTTTTTATGTTTCCGCAATGAACTTACTAGTCCATATATTTTACCAACTTGTATATCACTTTTGTCTAGGAAGCATGTTTGAAGAAACTTTGGCATCATTAAAATTTCCGTAGTTTATATGTTTATAAATTTGCACTGTTTGGGATAATAAATGGATTGTCTCTCGAAAACTATGAACTTTAGACTAAAAGTCATCAGAAACTTGTTGTTCAGAATGACCCAAAAAAACCTAGGGAATCAATTTCTGGAGTGTATTTAAATAAATTATTTTTACACTTTTTGACGCAATTATGTTTGTGTCAATATGCAAATTCGTTAAAAGTTTTACTTCTTTTGATAAGATTATACAAAAGGAAACGAAACGGGATATTTTTCTGAGCGGATACGAAGATACCTTCTAAGCTACTTTTGCTCTAAAATGCGTCGACTTATAGATATTAATTCAAGCAATGATTAAACTTTACGACTTTGCTTTTTAAACTAACAAAAGATTGTTACAAACTATATGCTTTTATACTTACATGGTGGGTCTGGAGTAAAACATAATTAGGAGGCATCTTTTTCTTCTTTTTCACCATGTCATTCTTGATATGCTCCAGGAAGACCTCTCGTTGCCTAATTCCCTCGAATTTCTTCCATAACCAGTTGGATAGTCGCCTATCAGCCAAGTCAACATGAAGATAGCTCCAAATGTAGTTCCTGTTCATCTTATTGGGCATTTTTCCATTGTAGTTTATGGGACGAGACATCACGTTGAGGTAACTAAGCATCTTTTCTCTTATGTCGCCCATATGTGTCATATTTCCCCAATAACCTGTGAAAATTGAAAAAAATGTGAGGGTTCTGAATCTCACGCACATTTGGAACAGTCATTTTCAAGCCCTCAAAAATCACAGGAATTGCTTTTTTTAAAGAGACAAAAGTTGTCCATTGACATAAACCAGTCAACTGTTGTGGGTTTAACATACTTTTTGAGCTTAATACCGTTGGAATGTCGAATAACCATCACTGCTTATTATGCCCGGATTTAGCCACACAAGATAGAAGTATAGCATTTATCATTGTTCCAATCCAAGGGACAAATCGGAAAAAACTCTACATGAAAAAGGCTCATAGACACTGACCCATATTTGCACAAGCGATCCATTCCATTTCCTTAGCATCGTTTGGATCTTGACCAATCTGAAACGCGAACACTCTCAAAGGAAAGTCCTTATCTTTGTTATGTTCGAAAAACATTTCTTTTGGATAATCGTAATCTATTCCTTCAGTAATCAGTATGATTGCTTGGTTACATCGAGCACCTAGAAAGTAAGCACTACATTGTGATTTGAATGTTCAAGTTATCTGTCTTTGATTTCAATCAAAAGCTCAAATTTCATAGCTGCAGAGAAGCGGGAAGTATTAAAGAAAATGGTGAAAGTGCTGTTTGTACGAAACGCATGACTTATTGGCTCTCTCACCAAAATTTGGACTCAGCATGGTCTACTTATGCCTCGCACCTTCACCAATTTTATAATTTATTCTGATAATCTCTGGAACCAGACATCTACTCGATAAAATATTCTGGTTCCATGTTTTTCTCTCATATTTATTTCACAAAGGACTCCTAAAGAATCTGCATGTTGCCAAGCTCAATCCTCCAAAATTGTTATAACACTGTTTTTCAAATTTAAAACGATTAATAAATTTTATGCGGTCCATTCTGAATGAGAAAACCCTTTCCAAGTTTTTTGCGCAAGTTGGCATTTTTTGAGATATAGATAAAATATTTTAAAAAGTGTGAAATATGCCATTTTCGATTCCGAAAAACACTATGAGAAATTGAAAATTTTAATTTGCCCAAGGTCCCTAAACGTCCTTCAAGCATCCATCAATAAGACCCCAAATCATTTCCAGGGATATTTATGGTGAACCTTTGTTTTTTAATTGTTAATTAAGAGCACTCAATGCATATTCTCACGCGCTAAATTGACAATTAATAAACAAGGATTCGCTATAGCTGTAAACAATAACTGTTCCAAAAATTTAACTAACGGATATTTGAAGAATGTTTAGGAATTTTGGCGACATTAAGATTATGTTTTACTATACAGGGTGTTTCAGTTTATTGTTGCATAACATTAAGATTCGATAGAACTTTTAAAATTAATGCATAAAGTCTATATAAACATGGGTCGAAAAATGCATGGCTTCCGAAATACAGGGTGTTTAAATTTACTTTCTAAAATAGTTTTTTTTAAATATTTTGAACAATATTTGATGTATAATAGTGAAAATTGGTATGCAAGGATTTTTTGGTACGACAAAACGAACCATGGGCATAGTTTTACTGTAGCCACTAGAGGGCTCTCTCTACTGTACCTGTAGTGTATTAAAATGACCAAAAATTTTTTCTTAGCGCAATTTTTTGCTTTTTGAATAAAAAAACTGATTCTTCGCACTTTTATGCATAAAGAAGCTCTCATGTGAGTTTTCATTATAGTTAGCCGTTTTTGAGATATTTCGATTTTTAAGGTTCGATGCATTTTTAATTATTTATGGGAAAATAATATTTTTTTTACATTTTCGATTTGGGCATTACAAGTAAGATGATCGTTTAGATTGTGTTTTTAAACACAGCAATAATTCCTAACTCCAAATAAACACAAAAAACAGAATATTAATTTTTTTAATTTTCCAATATTATTTTTAACAAATTAAATTAATTATTTACAACTAAAATGCTATTGGATAGTTAGGACAAACATACAAAACCTGAAGTAGTTGCTCGAAATGTAAACCCAATTGTTCAATACACAATTCACATCTACGAATGATCGAACGTGGTATAGCATTATTCAAATAAGGTCTTATTTCATCACATGCATTCCTGATTCTTTCTATTTCATATCTTTTGTGGTTACGGGAGTCTGGTACACTTTTTCTTTTAGAAATCCCCACACAAAGAAATCTAATCGATTTAGGTCAGGGGATCGTGGAGGCCAGGCGACTGGTCCTCCACGGCCGATCCATCTTTCTGGATAATTTTCGTCCAGCCAGTTTCTAACTATTCTCAAATAATGAGCTGGACAACCATCAAGCTGGAATCAGGCCAATCTTCTTAAATCTAACATAACATCATCCCACATATTTGCATGTTCAGCCTTTAAAAATTCCAAGAAGGTCGGAGTATTTAACCTTGCAGGCAAAAGGTAGGGTCCAAATAGTCGATTACGGTAGATACCAATCCACACGTTCACACTAAATTCATGCTGAAAATTTCTTTCCCGAACTGCATGCGGATTTTCATGCGACCATAAAACGTTACTTAAAAACTCCCAATTATTATCAGTTCGATCAAGAATCCACTGAAAAAATATGATTCTTCGTTCTCCGTCCCCTGGCTGTAGTCCTTGCACAGGTTGCAAATGGTAAGGACGTCTACGGTCATTTCTAAGAACACGGTGAACATGACTTGCTGAAATTCCCAAGTCATCAGAAACTCTCCTAACACTTGTGGTCGGATCTCTATCAAACTCACGCAGAATCATACGGGTAAATCTGCGCTAACGAACATTTATGTTTTGATCCCGTTGCAGATTTCCAAAACTATTTTCAATCATTTGGCGATGCACTCTTACAAATACTGAGCGAGTTGGATGTCGTCTGTTTGGAAATCTTCGTGCGTATTCTCTGGCCGCTTCTGCTGCGTTTCCATTTACAAAGCCATACACAAAATGAATATCCGCTAACTCTTGATTGGCTAATAAAAATGGCATTTTTATAAAACTTACAAAAAAAACAGATAAAAGAAACCAAATTTCGTGCATTCACAATTGCAAAAAAACGTTTCAGGTTTCAACAGACAACAAAACTAACTGTCAACTAATTGACGTCTAATCTTATTCTGCCTTCAATTTCAAAAATATTTGCAGGCACAGCCTACGTCTAAAAATTATCGAGATACTGACTTTTTAACGTTATTTTATCATAAATAATTAAAAATGCATCGAACCTTAAAAATCGAAATATCTCAAAAACGGCTAACTATAACGGAAATTCACAAGAGAGCTTTTTTATGTTGTGCGAAGAATCAGTTTTTTTATTCAAAAAGCAAAAAATTGCACTAAGAAAAAATTTTCGGTCATTCTAATACACTAAAGGTACAGTAGAGAGCGCCCTCTAGCGGCTACAGTAAAACTATTCCCATGGTTCGTTTTGTCGTACCAAAACACCTTTGTATACCAATTTTCACTGTTATACATCAAATATTGTTCGAAATATTTAAAAAAAAACTATTTTAGAAAGTAAATTTAAACACCCTGTATTTCGGAAGCCACGCATTTTTCGACCCATGTTTATATAAGCTTTATGCATTAATTTTAAAAGTTCTATCGAATCTTAAAGTTATGCAACAATAAACTGAAACACAATGTATATATCGTATTTAGCACTTTTCCAAGTATTAAATCGCTCATATCTTAAAGAAAATCATACCACAGAAAAGTTTAGAGTACAGGTCATACGAACCTTTTCTGTTAAAATAACTTTAAAAAAAACTTAAATTAACTGTATTTGGAGCGAAATTTTTAACACAATTTTGATCCTGGCAACGTGCATATTGATTGTAGGGGGCTATTCTGAATATTATGTAAAAAACAAAATACTTTGCAGAGACACTTTCCAAACCACCTATTGATTCCACTTATATGAATGCTTGAATAATCGCTGCTGCTTTATGACAGTGCTTTTCCGTAAATTCAGTGCACATCGTATGTAAGAGATATCTTACTTGTTCCTGTATGCCTAAAGTTCTCCAGAATATCGAACGCCTTTCGAAAACCTAGAACCAAATTGGCTGCATACGCTTCATCATATACATTCAAGTTTTCTCTCAGTAGCCTCAAATTTTCCTCATTTGCCTGAAAAGTTTTATTTTCAGTAGAAGAAACCGCCTTGAACATCAACGCTGTTAGATTTCCCAGCCCTCGCATGTATTTGTTTCAAGAACGAGACACATGGAATTTTTTTAAAAATGGGAATATGTGTGTCAGTCAAATATCGCTTAATTAATTTTATTTAGTCTATATTGCTACAGAATGGTGCCTTCAACTATATCCTATACTTGAGCGCTATATTTTTTTTAAATGTAAAAATACGCGGTAAATGAAAAAAGCTGAAACGCAACGCTATTGGCGGGTCGTCCATATGAGACTTGTGACCAACGCTTTGTTGATTGGTCAGTCAACCCGTCAATTTGGTATTCTAGCTTTTCAATGTAATTTATACTAATAAACATAACCTATAGATACTTACAATCACTTGATATATCAAAAACAGTAAACTAACTGAAAATACAATCAAATGACAAATCATAAGTTATGACGTCACTGCGAAGCGCACCCAAAATATTTAATTGAAAATAAATGCAGACATTTCCATGATCGAAATATATACAGGGTGTCCGCAAAGTTGGGGTTTTCCTTTTCAGAAACAACTACCCTTGAAATAACAAAGGTAATGTGTAGTGAAACGAGGGCGACCAAGTAAAAAAAAATAAAGGAAAAAGTACTCACTCTCCAGTTGACGAGAAGGGCTAAGTACGTCTCTGCCCGAAATCATACCGCTCCAACAGAAAATAAAATCAGCTGATGCGCTACCGAGCAGACGCCGGTGGTGGTGCAGACCACGAACAGAGGTAACAAATATGACCATCGTGCAGAAACCACATTGATTGTCTTACACTTAATGGCACATCTTCTAACAAGGAAGGCAAAATGTTGCGTAAAAAGTCTAGGTATTGCATCCCGTCCAATCGATTTGGGAGAATAAATGGTCCAATGAGCGTACCGTTCGCCATGCCAGCCCAAACGTTCACCGAAAATGTTTGTTGAAAATGTGCCCGACAGGCAGCGTGCGGATTTTCTACTGACCAAACATGAGTGTTGCGAAAGTTGTCACCCCATTACGCGTGAACGTAGATTCGTCTGTCACCAATATGCACTTCAAAAAGTCCGGATTATTGTCATGTTGATGCAACAACCACTCACAAAACCGCACTCTTGCTGGAAAATCGTCAGGTTGAAGGGCTTGTACACGTTGGACGTGAAACGGATACAGCCCCTCTTCACGCAGCGTTTGCCACACTTTAGTTTTTGATACTTGCACTTCTCTAGCCACGTCTCTAGTGCTTGTTGTTTTTTGAAGCGCAATCGATTATACGGGTTCGTTTACCTATACACGCGTGACCGTAACCGTCGGTTGAAGGTTGCATACTGACCTGACACACTGACTCCGACCCAGTTCTGTCGTCGGGTTGAGCTAGTGTCCTAGTACCACTCGGGGATATTGCGAGTCGCGGCTACAGGACGGTATTCAGATATTTTTGATGTTGCAGAGCCCTTTACCTCGGTTCCCTTAAGACATTGGTTTATATGGTACTAAGAAAAATTGCATATGTTTTCAAGATCTACACGTCGTGTAAAGGAAAACCCCAACTTTGCGGACACCCTGTATTTACAGTATTATATTAACACAAGTGATCGACAATAATTGCAAAAAAATCATGCAATTAATAAGAGTGCCTACTTTGCAGGATGCCTACCTGAAACAAGGTGTCATTGAAGCAATCTACTAAGGGCTCGGTTGAATTCGTGAAAGTATAAATATTAACAAAATCGTTATCGTTCAAAGTATCCAAGATCTGGTTCACAATTTGCTGCGATAGAGCCCGTTTGGTACCCTTCATTGATCCTGATCGATCCAAAAGTATTATAATGTCTTTTGGAGACGTTATTGCTTCTGTATACCAGGTCCTGGTGCGGAAGTCGTACGTTTTGTTGTACTGCTCACCGGACCATTGTATAGCTGCAAGAACATGGGAGAAGTTCTGTAACATATACTATTAGAGGCACAGTACTGAAGAAAGCAAATTCTCGATGAAAACGATGAATATACAATCCATCTTGTCACGTCAGAAAAAACTAAGTAGTCAGATATACAGGGTGTAAACGTTATGGTAGTAATTATTGAAATGGGTAATAGGGGGCTCAAAACAAGTCAATAAGCTCATATGACCCATGGTCCAAAAGTCAATAGATTTTGGTCTACATGCCTTTATAGTTTACAACTTTAAGTGCTTTATAGGAACCACAATCACCACAATCTTACTAATTTTTATAATCTAATCTAAAACGTTTTTAGATTGGGTAATTGACAAATAAATGGCATTAGGTTTTTCTAAGTTTAGCCAAAATTTGTAGTCAGTTAGTTTCATTAAATTGAATAATTAAAACACATATGACAACAGCGCGTCGGTCATCATCACTCTTATCGAACCGGCAACTGATCGCAAACGGTCACAGTGGTTAGTATGTTGTTTTGTTTTTGTTCGCGTACGTTGTCGTGATTTACAATGTTCTCGAATGAAGAGTTCGCCGACATGTTGTTAGTTTACGGTAAAGCTCGTCAGAAATCAGATCGTTGCAGCTCAAATTTATCGCGACAAATTTCGCCAACGAGTACACCCAGACAGAAGAACAACAAGTGTACCAAAGACCTTGAGATACAGAAAGTGAGCAGGAGGAACAAATTTTAAATATCCTGGAAATCAATGCAGATATTAGCACTCGGGAATGAGGCCGCCGCGTAGGACTATCCCATACCATAGTCCATAGAATCCCACGGGAAAATTTGCTTTATCCCTATCACGTAGAATGAGTGTAGACCTTGTTACCAGAAGACTATCCTCGCAGACTGACATTCTGTCAGTGGTTTTTGCACAAAAACATTGAAAATCCGGATTTTTTTAAAAACATTCTAGCGATGGACGAATGTACTTTTACGCGAGACAGTATATTGAATTTCCATAATACTCACATGTGGGCCCAAGAAAATCCTCATATCATTCCTGAAGGTCATTTCCAAAAACGTTTTAAAATAATTATTTGGGCTGGTATTCTTGACCATCAGGTAATTGGCGTTTTCGAGTTACCCCCAAAGTTGTCAGGAGAAGGATACCTCAGCTTTCTAGCCAATAACCTACCAGAGCTTTTGGAACAGACCTTAGACAACATGTCATTACAACGGAGTCAGAATTTGTGGTTTCTTCATGAGGGGGCACCACCACACAGAGGCGTCATTCAGTACTTGAATGAACATTGGCCAGCAATATCTCCTGACCTCAATCCGATGGATTTCTGTTATTGGGGAGAACTTAAAGCGATGGTTTATGGGGCTGGTCCAATAACAACTGAAGCACAACTTCGCAAAAAAAATGTTAATGCGGCTGAAATAATAAATGGGCAACTTCGAGGACCTAGAGTAAGAAGAAACTGGGTTTGTCGTAATAAAACTTGTGTGGAAAGTGGAGGACGACATTTTAAACACCTCCTTTAAATACAAAAACGTGCGTTGTGGGATTTGAAAAGAAAAACAATGTATGTATCAAAATTGGATTTCTTTAATACGTTGAATAAACTTTCACACACCAGGTGAAGCGCTGAGACAGTTAGTGGTAAGTCTATTTTTTTAATTGTTTGCATTTTACTAGTACATTATCAAATAATGAAATAATAGCTAAGAGCCAAAAATAACAAACTCCATCTTTATTTACACTGCGTTCCGTCGTAATTTTCGTCTGGCATTGCGACGTTGTCAGATTTTATTTTACTTTGAAGTCGCTTTTCTTTAAAAAAATGCCGTTTTGACCCCCATGTTATTTGAAACTCTTTGCTTCTTTCAACCCCCTCTATCACCCATTTAAATAATGACTATCATAACGTTTACACCCTGTATATAATAGGCAAACCATTTTGGGTTATGTTACCTCGAAGGCCTTTCACAGCTCGACGAATTATACTTTTCTAAAACTATAATGGACTTTATTACCTGGATAATGTCTCATGAACCCATGTGGACTGGCGAAATATTGCCAGGTAAGGGTCGGATCTTTTTCTAAATTATATTTGAAGATAAGGTCCAAAGCTTCTGACCATCGTACTCCTTCCAACACGTTTTTCTCTGAAAACCATTTTGATACATAAATCGAATAACGTTGTCACTGATAGTTTTCGGCCTTTCAAAGTACAGATCAAAAAAGTGACACTGACAAGGGCTTTTATAATGGGTGATTTTTTTGCCAACACTGTTTTCGACAGATGACGCGTGAATCGTGTCTTGTGTCATTGTCAAACTTGTTCAGTCTGGTCTATAATTTAACCATGAATCGACTTACGAACGGACAACGCTTGCAAATTATTGAATTTTACTATCAAAATTCATGCTCGGTTAAGAGAGTGCATCGAGCACTGCTTCCAATTTATGGGCAATTTGGTCGGCCTACTGAGGGAGCTATTCGGAAGCTTGTGACTAAATTTCGAACCCAGTTTACATTATTGGACATTAAACCACCAACACGCAGACGTAGACGCAGCAATTGGGCATCTGTTACTCCACTACGTGGAAAATTTTGCGACAGGATTTGGGTGTAAAACCTTAGATATAGCTGGTGGAAGAATTGAAGCCACACGACCTCCCACAACGTTTCCAATTTGTTGAATCGGCGCTGGCAAAGTTGGAGGAAGATCCACATTTTTATCGAAAAATTGTATTCAATGTCGAAGCTCATTTCTGGTTGAATGGGTACGTTAACAAGCAAAATTGCCGCATCTGGAGTGAAGACCAGCCAGAAGCATTGCAACAGCTACCAATGCATCCCGAAAAAATCACTGTTTGGTGTGGATTATGGGCGGGTGGCATCATCGTGCCGTACTTCTTCAAAGACGACAATGGCCGGAACGTAACTGTGAATGGCGAGCGCTACCGTGCGATAATAAACTTTTTTTTGCCCAAAATGACAAAGCTGGACTTGGCTGACATGTGGTTTCAACAAGACGGTGCCACATGCCACACGGCACACGAAACAATGGCACTATAGAGAGGCGAGTTCGGTGAACAGTTTATCTCTAGTTTGGGGCCTGTCAATTGGCCGCCTAGATCGTGTGATTTAACGCCGTTGCACTATTTCTTGTGGGGCCATATTAAGGCTAATGTCTATAGCAATAAATTCATCTTCAGATGGGCTAGACCCCATGTTAACGCGAAGACTACGTCAGCACTGTGTTCATGACCAGCGCCGAAATTCCACTGTGTTTTCGCCCTAAGCCATCATTACCTTTATTTCAAAATATAACCTCGCAACTTCAGCAATGTCCAGGACGCCCAGACTCAAAGTCATCCAGCCACTACAAAGCAAAACCGTGCACGAGGCTATCTTTCGTTTTCGATATATCAGACATGTCACCCCGCCCCAAAAACGCCAAGTGACGTCGAAAACGTGAAAACCCATACGGAACTGTTGTCTCAACACACCTGATGTCTGTATGCCATATATTTTTTCTCATAGGACAAATGACATGATGCTCCTGAGGTGTCGATGTACTATTTCATCATTTTGAATCCACAAATGATGCAGATGCAGCTTGAGCAGTCGGAGATTGCAAAACAGTGAACAAGTTTGCGGTGACAGCAGCTTTGGGAAGGTTTTCGCATTCTTGAGGTCACTTGGCGTTTTTGGGGCTATCAGCGAGGGTGGCGTATCTTGTTCATTCAAAACAACAAATAAACTGATGGCCATTTGTCACTTTGATGACGCTGGATTTCATTGGGAGTGGAAATGCCTATCCCATTCAGCATGCTATGTCGTAGTGGCAAACACTAATGAACTGTCACCTGGAAGACATATAAATATAGGGTGGGGCAGAGAGGATGGACGGTTTTAAAAAAATCATAAAATAGTTAATTTTTACCCGAAAACAAATTTATTGATGGAATCAGGTTCACAAGGAAATAGCATTTGAGACAGTCAAGTGTGGTAAATCACATCAGGCATGTGGTGGCCGATGCAGTGATGCAGTGATGGAGGCGTTCTTGGAAGTTCGCGTAGACTCTCTCCAACATCGCTCTCTCAACTTGGGCGACTTCCACGCAAATTTCGCCCTTCAATTCGTCCAGAGTTCATGGCTTGTTCGCGTATACTCTAGCCTTGAAGAGAGGGCGAATAACGTCCATAGATGCTTGGGCTGTGTGGCGGGCGTTCGCCCCATCCTGCAGGAACCACACACGTCGAACTGGAACACGTCGCCGTCGTAATTCAGGGAGAAAGAAGTTGGTGATCATGTCGACGTAGCGCTCTGAGTTCACGGTAACATCACGACCATTACCGTCTTCGAAGAAGTAAGGGCCAATGATGCAAGTTTGCGATACAGCGCACCAAACGTTACTTTTGGGCTGTGCAGCGGTCTTTCGTGTAACTGTTGCGGATTTTCATTAGCCCAATAACGACAATTCTGCTGGCTAACCACGCTGTTTAAGTGGAAGTGGGCTTCGTCACTCATAAACAAAATGAGGTTCTCATTTTGATCGATCAGTGCTTCCATCTCACGTGCGAAGTTCATTCGTTGTGCATAATCTCCGGGCTGTAACTGTTGCACAATGGCCAATTTGTAGGGGTGAAAGCGGAGATCCATATACAAAATTCGCCTTACCGAACGATCACTAAGGCGAAGTGCAGCAGCATGTTTCCGGGCAGATCGAGTCGGACTGCGAAGAAAGACCTGTCGGACGCGTTCAACATTTTCAGGAGTTCGAACTGTTCGCGGCGCTCCTCTTGGTCTTCTGTTGATCAGTTCACCACGCCTGCGAAGTGATTCAACCCAACGAAGGATAGAGTTTCGAGAGGGAACAGCTCTATTCCGAATGTTGAAGTGGCGACGAAACTCACGCTGTACGACGATGACTGACTCATTATTTCGAACGAAACAATCATAGACGAAAACGCGGTGCTCCACCACCCAAGGCTCCATAACGACAACTGGTGAAATAATGCTAGGATCTCACGAGTCAAACGGCACCCTCCTCACCTCTCTCGTAGCCGGAGGCGGAGAGTACTATCCATCCCAAAAACGTCCGTCCTCTCTGCCGCACCCTGTATAAAATCTATTGTTACTGTCACTTTCTGGCCTGTACTTTGTTAATAGAAACGCAATCCTACACCCGTCGATTCATTCAATGGGCAGAAACAACATAGAGAACAATCAACATGAAAACCACAGGATGAGTTCCATGTGTCTAGTTAATACAAGTTTTAGAAAGATCAATGTCGGTAGAAGTTGTTTTAGTAGATTGTCCTACAGTTTCGATACCTAGGGAACCAAAGATTGATCGTACTGGCTAGTAGCAGCATGACCTGTTGGCATGAAAAAAAGTTACCCAGCAAGTTCTCGTAGTAAATTCAGAGAACAGTGGCAAGTGACAATATTACAGCTGAATGTTTCTCCTACAATTTCACCACATATTCCAATATCCCTTCAGCTTAAGCTGTACAATTTTACATGACTAACTGAGATGGTCCATATTCTACCCTCTATAGCAGCGCATAAAAGCGATATTTACCTCTATCCCAAACATTGAGTGGTATTTTCACCACACTCAAGTTAGTGTTCACATATTCTTGATACCTCGGATCGTATATCAAAGGCAGGTGGTAATACCCATACTCTTCCTCCGACAATTTCCACTTCTTCCAGTCTTCACATAGGCAACTGATGCCCTTTTCGTGCCGTCTTAACTCGAACAGATGCTGCCTGAACGTGGTGTTCGAGAAGATATTGTACGGTAGATGAGTTACGTTGATTTGGTTGCAAGCCCAACGACATTCGCTCTGAAATGGTAACAATTCTGTTGAAACGGTAGGATGATAGAAAAATTTGTAAGAAGCTTTGTCTCTCTCATAAGTAGGTCATTGAAATTTGGGCATAAAAGATCCTGCTCCAACGATACATATACTATGTGACATATAAATCCGAACACCCAGTTTAAATGGTTTTATTTTAATAAAATTTTGTATAAGTACTTAATGAAGCATAATAAGTAAATGATAAAAATTTCAAAATGATTGCACTGCTTTAAAGCCCTTTGACCTTTAATAATGTGTGGATGCACCCTGATATGCTACGCATTCTCCAACGCGCCTAGGCATGCGTCTGATCAGGTGGTCAATGTCCTCCTGTGGTATCTCATTCCAGGCAACCACCAACTCCTCTCGAAGTGCTTCTAGAGTCTGAGGAGGACGTTGCAAATTGAGCAATCTCCTACCCATCGTATCCCACAAGTGCTCAATTGGGGATAAGTCGGGAGATCTTGGTGGCCATGGTAACAATGTGACATCATTATGTTGAAAGAAGTCTATTGTGACTCTTGCAACATGTGGTCGGGCATTATCTTGTTGGAAAGTTGGATCTGCCAGGGTGTCAAGATAGGGTAAAAGATGGGGTTCTACAACTTCGTGGATATAACGCTGCGCGTTAATGTTACCTTTGATGAAGATTAAAGGTGACCTGGAACCATAAGCTATAGCACCCCAAACCATAACTCCAACAGTGTGATGAACATGTCTTTCAACAAAAAACTGTGGATTCCTCCTTTCACCACGTCGCCTTCTAACCCTGGCACGACCATCGTGCATGCCTAAACAAAATCGAGACTCGTCACTAAAGACAATACTGTTCCATTCCTGATCCCAGAGTGACCGTTGTCTGCACCACTCAAGGCGATTACGCCGGTGTTCTCGAGTTAAAGGGAGGACCCAGTGTGGCCGGTATGAAAACAAGCCAAAACTTCTCATTAGTCGGTAAACACTTCGCATGCCAATAGGTCTTCCGTGTTCTGCAAACCAATCATTTGCAATGGACCTGGTAGTGGAGAAACGGTCCCTTAAGGCCAATAATCTGAGGCGGCGATCTTCACGGTCTGTTGTTCTACGGCGGCGTCCAGTGCCCCTTGCTCTTTGCGTACGGCCTTCTCGAAGCCATGCCTGACAACACCTAACCACAGTGTCTACACTTCTTTGCACTCTAACTGCAATTGCCCGAAAAGAAAGTCCAGCTTCCCGAAGTCCCACTATACGGCCCCTATCAAACTCATTATGTTGACGAAATCGTACAGGTCTCCGTACCCGTAACCGATCGTAAAGGATGTCAAGAACCAAAATCTGCCAACGTTGATTCTTTACTGCGGCTGAAATATTCATTTTTAGAGCGTTAGTGAATTAAAAAAAAGCAGTATAAAAACCGGAATGTCCAACTGATAAGGCTGAAAATTTTTTCACTTGTTCTTTACAGTAAGATAAATACATTCACCAACTTTTATTAAAATAAAACCATTTAAACTGGGTGTTCGGATTTATATGTCACTTAGTATATATGTGAAGAGTGCGTGTTTATAAATATGAATGCTTGATAGAGTCACGATGTTGTTACTTCTAAACATCTCTCTGCAGGATGTTAAATATCAGTCTAATAATTCTCTTCTGTTGAACAAATGCTCTAGAGATTGTACTTGATTGACCCAAAATCACAATCTTCCTTAACAAATGTGGAGAAGGTAGTAATACACATCTGGTAAAGCTGATTCTACTAAGCAAAAGTTAAGCTTTAGAATTGCATAATACGGGTGTTTCAACTTTTTATACACTTTGTTGCCAGTTGAGTTTTGCAACCATTTCTAGTCCGTAGAATACCGTAGTTTCAGATGTTTCATCATGTTCAGAAGCGCTTGTATAGAAATAGAAAGGTTTGAAATCAAACGATTTGTTTGGCAACACTCTTTCATTTCACACTTGACTCCATTGATTTCTGCAATAAGGTTATTGCGTGTAGTTCCACTGACAAGAACTGACGTATCACTGGCATAGTTAACCACAAATCCAGAGAGATGCAAATCGCTTATGTATAGTGTGAATAGAAGGGGTGCCAAAACTCAAAGGGTACAAAGGGTCAACTTCGATAATCTTGTCTATCTCATGAACCTACGCTCTTAGAACTTTAAATCTATCGAGCACTTTGTTCTACGTGTTGGAATAATGTATGTAAAAAACAAAAGAAAATAAGCTTTGCTCATTTATTTTTAAAAGTACCTACTACTTCATGCACAAAGGCAATTGTAACTATTTTCTATACTCTTGGTGACTTTTTTTCTCTATCCCTGTTCGTCTGGTTCAAAACGCTGCTTCAAGGCAGTACTCGATGTAAAGTGACGCCCAAAGAGCTTATTCAATGGAAAACATAAACTACTTGCATTCACTAACCTTACGTATTTCTTTTTCGAGGTCAGCAGCTCTTTCTGGGTCCCAAGAGGTTTCATTGATACTGTCAGCATTAAAGAAGTAGTACTTTGAAAACCGATCCAAACTTTCATTTTTTCGATGATAAGATAGAAATTCGGCATATTCAGCGATATTCTGAAAAGGGAATATTCTTCAATGATCTGTGAATCAAACCAGTTGCAAACAACCATACCGACACAGCTTCCGCTTTAGTATCCATCATAATCCTAATATCAGTGGCTACTTTGTTTAAGAAGAGTTCCGGCTTTTCCTTGGTTAGCGTGTCTGTCAATGGGTCAAAACTCTACAACAGGAAGAAAAGAGAAAACAATTGAAGGCTCTGGGGTGGGACGAGGAAATCGTAATGTTCCAAGAACTTTCAAATTGATATACTTTCTTATCAATTGAGTGCTAAGGGAGGAAGGTAGATCTGCGACTTAAGTATGATATCAATTCAACGAAATTAATTCTTCTTATTCTTCATTATCTTTCTTCTGATCTGAGTAAACGTTAGTTAGAGTATACTTGTAAACTCAGCTATACAGGGTGGTGCTGAAGAGTGCTGGGGTTTATTTAGAGGTAATCAGCCAGGAAGCTACGAGATCCTACCTGTTGTACTTGGTCAATTCTTGTCATAGTTTCGCTAAGGGAGGCTAGCCGTTCTCCTATTTCCTTAGACCAATGTGATACACTGTAGAAAACAAAAACTTAATGGATCTGAATCCATGATATTTAAATTATGCTAGAGACGCTAAACAATTTCAGTCTCGTCCTCTGGTTCAATATTTTTTCTCTTCATGATTCGGTATTTGCTTAGATTGATACTATGTGTAACATCATACAGGGTTTGTCCGGAAAGTAATAGGACTGAGTCGATTTAAAAAAATTATTGATCCAATCGTTCCAATTCTTTAAAAACTTTCAAAATAGGCTCCTTCTGCGTCGAAGCAGCGCTGCCAGCGCGATTTCCAAGCATTAAAGGCGTCACGGAAGGCATTCTCCGGAACACCCTTGAGAGCCGCGGTGCATGCTGCTTGGATCCCCTCTGTCGTCTCAAAATGCTTGCCTTTCATCGGCCTTTTCAGGCGCTGTAGGGCGGCTGCGGAAGCGTTGGGATGCCGGCCTTGGTCAGGTAGCTGTTCACAAGAAAGGCGGTGTGAGCCGGGGCGTTGTCGTAGTGCAACTTCCAGTCGCCTGCGATGTCTTGTCGGACCCGACTGACCCTTCGTTTGAGTCTCCTGAGCACTTCCACGTAAAATTTGGCGTTGACGGTTTGTCCAGGAGGAACAAATTCATGGTGGACGATGCCTTTGATGTCAAAAAAGACAATGAACATCGTTTTCACTTTGGATTTGCTCATTCTTCCCTTTTTTGGGCGAGGAGACGCCGTCGTGTGCCATTCGAAAGATTGCCTCTTTGTCTCGGGATCATACTCAAAGATCCACGACTCGTCACCTGTGATTACGTTATTCAAAAATTGGGGGTCACCTTCACACATGTTCAAATTTTCTTGGCACACTTCCACTCGCCGCAGTTTCTGGTCGTCAGTGAGCACTTTTGGGACCATCTTCGCGCGCACCTTGCGCATGTTCAAGTGCTGTGTCACAATGTCATTAACCACAGATTTTGGTAAATTTAACATCTGGGCAATTAAACGAATACTTAATAATAATAATAATAATAATAATAATAATAATAATAATAATAATAATAATAATAATAATAATAATAATAATAATAATAATAATAATAATAATAATAATAATAATAATAATAATAATAATAATAATAATAATAATAATAATAATAATAATAATAATAATAATAATAATAATAATGTTTATTGTCACAAAATACAAGTAAATATCAAATATTGTGCACAATAAACCTAAAGCACCCAAAAAAAGTTTGCACTTGTGTTTGGGTATGTACAAAATAAAAACTAATAGGACAGTCAGTGTATGAAAAAAAAAAAAGAAAAAACCCGTTAATACTGTATAATTTGGTGAATTATTATGGTAATGTCAGGAAAAATATCCAGAAAATTAGAACTGAAGTAAAAGTATGGATGTTAGTGTAAGTAAAATATTATTGATTTTGATAATGATTTTTCAGATCTACAATTTCGTGGATGGAGTACCTACCTTGGTTGTTGTAAAATCCATTTTTTTAGTTGTTTTTTAAATGATTTATTTGATTTAATTACTTTTAATGACTCGGGTATGAAGTTATAGAATTTTGGTCCCAAGAAAAACAGAGATCGTTGTGTAATGGTTTTTGATGTTTGTGGAATACACATTGAATTTTGATTGAATCTTGTTGGGTAGTTATGAATGGTACGATTAAAGTATTTTGAATATTTGAAATAATGTATTAGACCACAATAAAAATAAATGTGTCTGCAATCTAATAGCTGACCCTCCACAAATAGAAAATCACTTGAATAAGTAATCTCCCTATGGAGGATCAATTTTAGAATTAATTTTTGGATTATCTCAATCTTTTTGTAATTATTATTCATAACTCCCCCCAAGCCAAAATTCCGTAAAGTAATAGAGGATAAACAAGAGCATAATATAGATTATATAGATATTTCTTATCTAGAATATCTCTGAAGTACCTGAATTTTGGAATAATACATCTCAGTCTCTTCACAAGGTACTCTGTATGGGTATCCCATTTTAAGTGTTTGTCCAAAATCACGCCTAAGTATTTTATTCTATCGGCTGACTGAATCTCTTTGAAACCACTGCTTGTATGAATTTCAAGTTTTTTAAATTGTGGTGAGAGCTTGTCGTTACAAGAAAATGCTATATAGTGTGTTTTGTTGTAATTAATTGTCAAAGTTCTTTCCGAAAAGAAATTTATAAATGTTTTGAAATCATGTTCGATTGTGGTTTTTAGTGTATGCCACTGGTTGATTTCATAGAGAATAGCTGTATCATCCGCAAAACCGATAACTTTACCTGTACTACTTATTTTGAACAAATCGTTGATAAATAGATTAAATAAAATGGGTCCTAATACTGAGCCTTGAGGTACACCGTATGATATAATATGGGGTTCACTGAATGTGTTATTAATTTTGACGCACTGTGTTCGATTTGACAAATAATTTTCTATAAGTTTGTATGTTATTCCCCGGAAACCTAAGTTTTCTAAAGTTGTTAAAAGCGATTCATGAGTAATAGAGTCGAATGCCTTTGCCAAGTCAACAAAAACACAAGCAGTTGGTTTGCCAATATCCAGATTCGTGTATATTTTATTTGTTAATTTTACAATAGCATCTTGAGCAGATTTGCCTTCTTGAAAACCATATTGCTCTTCCGCTATTAAGTTATATTTTTTTGCAAATTCGGTGAATCGTTTTTTTAACACTTTTTCAAATATTTTAGAAAAATTTGTTAAGATGGAAATTGGTCGATAGTTGATGGGTTTTTCTCTTTCTCCAGATTTAAATAATGGTTTTACCATAGCGTGTTTTAAACATGAAGGGAATATTCCTTTATTCATACAAGAATTTATCAAATATGATAGTATGCCGCAGATGTTGCAATTTATTCTCTTGAGAGTATACGCTGTTATATTATCTAGACCTGGAGATTTTCTTAATTTCAATTCATTGATTATTGTCTTTATTGCATGCGTATCGGTCGGTTCCATATAATACATATATAATGAGTTATATAATCTGGTCTTACTATAATTTAATTTCTCCGCGTTTTTTATGCTTTCTGACAACCTTTTCCCGATTTTTGAAAAATATTCACAAAATTCATTTGCTATATCTACATCATTACTCACTAGTTCACCATTTTCTTTTTTAATTGTACTAATTTTGTTGTTTTGTTTTTTGTCTTGTATTTTATTGATAAATTGCCACATTTTGGACGAACAATTTTGTAGATTATCAAACTCGTCTTGGAGATATTTAATTTTAGCCTCTTTAATTATTTTTGTCAGTCTGTTTCGATATGATTTAAATTCATTCAAAAGTTTAACATCATAAGGATATTTTTTGGTTTCCTTATATAATTCTATTTTTTTGTTGATGGAGGTAATAATCCCTTTTGATATCCATGCTTGTCTTTTTATTTGTGTTCGTGGAATCTTTACTGTTTTGGTGCATTCAGCAATATGGCCTTCAATGCTAGATATAAAAAGGACAAATGCATTTTCAATATTAGGTTCGTTATATACTACAATCCAATTTTCATTCAGTAAGTTGTTATTTAGATTTTCATAATCAATGTAAATTTTTGAATTATTCACTGTCTTTTCAATTTTGGTTGATGTACTTTCAAGATCGATTTTGAGCAAAGTAGGAAAATGATCAGAAATTTTGTATTTTAGAATTGCTGAATATATTTTGTCAAGTTCTAAACGACGGTCTGAGTTCAAAACTTTGCGCACACGAGTCACATTATCGGTGTTTGTCGAAGTCGAAGGTCTTCCAGCACGGTCTTCATCAGCGACCTCTTCCCGGCCCTCCAAAAAAACCTGGTGCCACCGAAGCACACCACTTCTTGCTAAAGCAACACCTGGGTAAGCCTGCTTGATCATATCAAACGTCTCTGTCGCAGATTTACCGAGTTTCACACATAATTTAATCGCGTACCTCTGCTCTAACGAACGCTGCATTTTCGGCTTGCACCACTCACAGAAACACGTCGCGCGAAAATGCCTGTCCTGACTCTCCAAGTGCTCGGAGACAACTGACCAGCCGCTCATTCGTTAGCTAGGAACGCCCTCTACCGAATCCAGTCGGTGCGCGCACGCTGCGAAGTACAGTCATGCCAGAAGAGAATGAGTCCTATTACTTTCCGGACAAACCCTGTACATTAATATTAGTTATAAAACTGTGGCACCCATTGCTTATTTTTTGATTATATGTACTAAGCAGTTCGCATTGCTATGGTCAGGACAAGTCTCATTTGTTGAAATGCTACTAAAACGTAGGGCGTTGATGTTACGGTAGAGAAGGTGAAGTTAATCACTGCAGTGGTAACTTCCTTATGTAGAAATATATATATGTTGAATCAGAATTAAATTTAAACTGCGAATTCCGTCTCAAACATGCGTATTCATTCCTTACAGCACAATATCAAATCTCCCTTCTTCCTAAAGACGTTTAGACGGCCCTATCCAGAAAATCGATGAGATCGAGACATTGTGGCGCCTGACACAGCATCCAGAAGTGGAACGAATCCTAGACTGCTGCTCTATTTAGAAAATCGATTACACGCATGCAATTCAGTATCATAACTTCATATCACGCATGAAAAGATTGTCTGTATTTTGGTACTAACGCTACAATTTTACTATGTTACACATTTTTACCCTCCAAATTGAAAAGAAAGATGGACTGGTTTTCCGCAAAAAACTGTCAATCTATTTTTGAAATAATTTTACCTGATGTATCCTCCCAATGTTTCTTCGAAATATCCACTTCTTTTCTAGACATAACAAGACATTTTCAGTCGAGTCATCTAATACTTTACTGCTTGTTCTAGGCTTTTAAACTACTGATGCCTCTTACACAAGTTCAATCTAAATACTGAAAGTCAGGTTTCCATGTATGAAGCTTTTTAGACTAGGTGAATCAGTCGGTATCATGAAAAGCAAATATTTCTCAAAAATAACTAAGTAATATCCGTGCATTATGATAAATAGTATTTAATGGCATAGCGTTTTTCTTCCTTGATAATTAATATTCTTAACCTATACCATTTTAATAAATATCAAAACCCGACAATTCAAAAAGTTGAGCTTTGTCTTTTTCGTTATTTAAGATACCTTGTCGATTCAGTACCCTTTTTCTACAAAATATTATTTCCTCTTACCATAAAATAAATTAGCAGACAAATTATTAATCTATGTTTTTGCGAAAAAATTAAGATGTTTAGCACCAAAGTACCCAGCATATCAAATCTTAGTAAAAATAGTATAATGTAGAATTACATAGTGCGTATGCATGTCTTCGTATTAGGTTGTAGTTCTCAATCAAGGAATTTTAGTAAATTTGATACCAGCACACACACATTCCTAAACAAGTTATACAATGTAACAAATTCTATTTCTCGTCATAAAATGGAAAAATTGAATACACTGGCTACAAAGTAGCAATTTTTTATTTTAGAAAGATATGGGCTATACTTACAGCGACAATATCCTCTCATAGTCCTTTCTAGTTTGCTTATTAGCGACTACACAACAAACCAAACAAAAAACTACAACTATTACCCTCATGTTTCCAACTATCTCATTTTTCTAGCATTCCCGAGCTAAACTGAGTTCAAAAAGGGGGATGACACGATCGCCCAGCGCGCACGTGAACAAGTAGATATTGGAGTTGGAGGGGAGTTTTTGGGGAACTACAAGTCGCATAAAGCTGCATTTACTACTACATATTAAAAGACCCTGTTGAAAGCCTCAGGTTGCTTATCTTATCTAGCATTTGCGTTCGATCGAAGTTAATTCGGAAACAGCGACGAGTTTCGATTTCGAGTGGATTTTTGCAATCTATAGCGTGGGGTGAGCTTAGATTGTTTAGCAGCGAGGGTATGGCCCGAAATACAAAAACGGTGATACATCAAATAAAAAATGGCGTAAAGTAGGTTGACTATCTGGTTCCCAAGAACCGCTGTCATAAATCCATAAAGGGCTATGTTTGGTACAAGTTTGCGCGTTTGAGACAAAATTTAGGCCACGAACATATAATAGTAAGGGAGCTCGAGAGGCTAAACAGGCATGGTAGGGACACATTTGGTTTTGAAGATTAGATCTTAGAAAGAAAAAAAGGTTATGGTGTATTATACCCCTCTAGAGGTGGGGGAACATCTACAGATTGTAAGAAATGTAAAAAAAACATAGAAATACTCTTGTCCGACACGGGTATCACGTACCTTGAAAAGTGACACTATGCCGATTTTTTTGACATTATGTATTTTTTTCTACCAGGTGCTGACTAAGCACTTTGGCTTAGATGTGATGTAAAATCTGCTTCTGAGGTGGCATTACTGGAGGTCTAAGCTGTAAGTTGTATGGTTTGATGATAATAATATTGGGTTCTTCTGGAAATTAGATATACAAATTTTCTGAATTTTAAAAATGAGAGAGATAAGAAATAATTATACAGGGTGTCCGCAAAGTTGGGGTTTTCCTTTACACGACGTGTAGATCTTGAAAACATAAGCAATTTTTCTTAGTACCATATACACCAATGTCTTAAGGGAACCGAGATAAAGGGCTCTGCAACATCAAAGATATCTGAATACCGTCCTGTAGCCGCAACCCGCCGCGATATCTCAGACTGGTACCGGCTACTAGCTGAACCCGACGACAGAACTGGGTCGGGGGTCGGGGTCAGTGTGTCAGGTCAGTATGCAACCTTCAACCGACGGTAAAGGGTCACGCGTATAGAGGTAACGAACCCGTATAATCGATTGCGTTTCAAAAAAAAAATAATAATTGCACACTCATACACCAATAATGAACTGGTTGATATGTTGTTAAGTTATGGCGAATGTCTTCAAAATGCTACAGAATCGTTGCGAGTGTATATGCAGATCGTTTCCCTAGACGACATCATCCAAGGCCCCGCAGATTTGTGTACCTGGTCCAGAGAGTCAGGGATACGGGCCATTTGGAGGAATTTCGAGGTGGGCACAGTGGGAGGCCTAGACAACCACGAATGGTGCAAGTTGAGGAAGAACTACTGAATCGCGTAGACGAGAATCCCTCAACAAGCACTAGAGACGTGGCTAGAGAAGTGCAAGTATCAAAAACTAAAGTGTGGCAAACGTCCAACGTGTACAAGCCCTTCATCCTGACGATTTTCCAGCAAGAGTGCGGTTTTGTGAGTGGGGTGAATAACTTTCGATTTCAGGCAGAGACGTACTTAGCCCTTCTCGTCAACTGGAGAGTGAATACTTTTTCCTTTTTTTTTTTACTTGGTCGCCCTCGTTTCACTACACATTACCTTTGTTATTTCAAGGGTAGTTGTTTCTGAAAAGGAAAATCCCAACTTTGCGGACACCCTATTTACTGTACACTGTCGAATTAAAAGTCATATACATGCTAACAGTAATTACACATCAAGCGGGCGCGGTGATGATTTCCTGTAATTCTCCTCAATTTTTCGTAATTTATAACTTTGAACATAACCTCTCTTCAGAAAGCACAGCATAAAAATAACCCGTCGGGCACAGCCAATAGATGTACTTCATTGGCAGCATATTCAGTAATAATTTTCTCACACAGCAAATATCACGGATTTTCAGTGGCGTAGCTGGAGCCTCGGGAGGCCTGGGGCAGCAAGGAAATTTGGGGCCCCCTATACGATTTTTTTTTCAACTCTACCCTTAGAATTTCCTAAATAACGTTTGAATTTACCGCGCATATACGGATATCGAGCACTGTTCGACGCGATCAGCTGCTGATGTCTGTGTCAGACTCAGCAGTGTTACCAAGAGTCAAAGTTACCAGAATCAGAATTGCCGACTCTGCGCGAGAAAAAAAAATAAATCAGATTGATAGTGTGAAACAACTTGCCGAAATGATTATTATTGAAAACAGTTCCTTGACGTCAAGTTACTCTGATATATGCACTGCGCGTATTATGTTCTTGACACTTCCTGTGACAGTTGCAACGGCAGAGAGATCTTTTTCAAAATTGAAATTATTAAAAAATTATTTGCGAAGCTCTATGGGGCAAGGACGACTGTCTGGATTGGCATTATTATCAATTGAGAATGAGCGAGCGAGAAAAATGGATTTTAGCGAAACTATCGACATATTTGCGGCATGCAAATCAAGAAAGCGGCATTTTTAATACAATTTATTAATCGAAATAATAAAATTTGTTGTACTCAAACGTAAAAATGTTATTTTGTAAACAATCTAATAAAACTACGAAAAAAATTTTCAGTTGTTTCACTTCAATTTGAAGTATTTTCAGGGGCCCCTAAAGTCTTCGCCGAGGTAAGATTCTTTCAGGGTCAAAAAAAGTCCCTCGACGAAAAAAAGGCCCCTGACGAAAAAATGGCCCGTACGCTAAAAGGCCCCCGACGAAAAGGGGCCCCTCTTCGTCGGGGGCCCTGGGGCACCGCCCCGCCTGCCCCATGCTAGCTACGGTGCTGCTGATTTTATACACATGCAGACCCATACACATAATCATCCAGTTGCGATCTTGCTATTCAACCAACTTTCTTCTTAGAGATAAAAGCTAGAGACAAGGACCATTTGGTCTCACAAAACATATGCAACCAATAATGCGTGTAGTTTAGTTGACTGATTCCTCCTTATATGGACGTTCACAACGATCCTAGTGAGCAAACGTGGAATGACTGTTTGCGCCATAAAAACTACCTAGTTTGCAAGATCACATCTTATAGGCTTTTTGACGTTTTATAGGTTTTTTACGGGTGGGCCATTAATAAAGGACGCCAGCTGTATCTTGGCAACCAGTCAAGCTAACTATAACAAAGGTAGCCAAGGAAAATTGGTGGAAATTATTTTCAGGTTTCTAAAGCGACCGCGTAACCATAACCCCAAAATTAGAAATCCGATTTTTCGAAAGCTTCAAATGAAATGTTATTATTATTTTTCATTATTTATCCAGAAAGTGGATGAAAAATCATACAAACTATTGAAAACCGCACGTCGTTATCTTCATACGTTATGAAGTCTTTTTTTGTGTGTGATTCTCCACTCCTTTACGTCATACTCAAACAGTCAGCTTAATTGAAATAAACACTTTTCAGTATGTAGTTCACCCAACTTGTTTTCCTCTGACGCTTACAAGTATTTGTAACCATCGATTTTTTTCTGCCGAGCTCGAGTAAATCCCCACAATCCCCCATTGCGCTCCCCTACTATAACAATAACATTAAATGGATTAACTCATACCAACAGGCCCATAAAATTAGCCCTTAGTCCCCACCCATTTCACAACGTTACGATCTAGAATCGTCTCCCCTGCCTTACCGACAGTCTGGCAACTTTGACCCCCATGCAGGTGAGTCCACATTCGTTGCATTACAAATGTGTTGAAAATATTACGGTGAATTCTATGTGTGAAATATGTCATGTGGTCAGATGCATAGAATTCGAAAAAATTTGCGACCGCAATACTTTCTCGCTAGTTGGCTTGAAAGGTAAGGTCATGTGACACGATAAGAATATTTGCTTTGTGTTAAAAATAGGCACTTTATTATAGTCTTCATAAGTATGGGGCAATAAATTAGGAAGTGACCGGACTATTCTCAAATTTCTTTGTCACGAATTTCGATACCGCTGAGCGACGCCACTGGAAATACGTTTTTTCAGCAACCTTTGGCAAATCTAACCCAATGAAATTTCAACAGCACAGTAACCAGATGGGACCACACGTGATAGTATCCATGTAAAGCAAATACCTTATGTAAATATCGGTGAAAATTAAAATAGTTATCTTTTCTAGTTGCTTCAGGTTTGGGCATATTCAAAAACATTATGGAGCCCAAACGTTTTGTTTTTTTAAGAAATGCTTATTTTGACTTATAGAAAATTTGAAAATATGTGAATACTAGCATGGGAAGTACTGAGTGAATCTACTTGCTACTACTTTGGCCGCCATTTTTTTAATAAACCATCCATAGCGGAAGATCATTTCAGCCTCTAGAGACAGTTTCATGTTTGACAGTCATAGTTGCCTTATAGAAGTCCGAAGACATTTTAATTATGTTTAATCCGAAAAGAGTTAGGAGCTAAAAGTAAGAATCTGCTACTGTCACTTAGCCGTACAATCTAAGTAGGGTGAGGTGAGATTGTGAAAAACACTAAGCATTTTTTTTTCGTACGTGGGAGCCTCTGTAAGCTGGGGATCGGTAGCATTTCGAAAAATGAACAACCTACACCCGCAAAGTATAACGCGCGTTGTGGATATCTGTATATGCTATTTTTGGAGCTTTCCTACGCTTTTTCCATTGTCGAGATTATTGTTTGAAGTATAAATGAGCAATTTAATTGCAATTTTTCCCATCAACAGGAACTGCTCCCATAGCTACATTCTGTCGGTCTAGTCTCTAAGGTAAAATGTCTTTGATCGAAGCTGAGCAGTTTCCTTCATTCCAAAATATTTCATAGCAAGTCTAGTTTAAAAAAGTCCCTAGATGTGTCACCATAGATGCCAGCTTCAGCGACATCTACCGACAAAACGCTCAATTTTTCGATCGATAAGGCACCTCTACTAGCTCATCTGCAAGATTAGCAGTTCAGACTTTGGAGTAAAGATGGTGGCACGGTCCACGTTTATTTCCCTAAGCCTGGAAAACTGGAAATCTAATATTACCCTATTTCACGAGTATCCATCACGGAAGAATGACAGCTGATTATCTAGTAATATCTCAAAAAAAGAAGCTTTGTATAAAATATTGAGGGATACCAATGGAGATATATAAAATATGAGGCGTAGCAATGTTTGCCACAAAACTAAAAAAAACTGTTATTTATATTTTGCCTCGTCTGGCTACTATGCGGCGGAACGTTAATGTCTCTGAACACTCTTATAAATGCCCAGTCTTATAGGATAAAATACAATTGGAAAAAAGCAATGTTTTATTATATAAATATATTTATTAACTATTTGATCTAAAATTACATGATCATTAATAGGAGAAGTACGATCGCAAACATTCCAGGCCGCGCCTCGCACTGTGATCAAGATTAAATTGTAAATTCAGACCAGCCAAAATTATTTCAGTATACAAAACCGATCAAAATTATTTTTTGGAGTTACAAAATAATTCGAGCAGTTAAAGCAATAATGCTTAAGCTATTTCAAATGATTTACTTTTTTTCTCTGCTCTATTTCTTCCTTCCTTTCTTTCATTCTTTCCCTTTTCCCCTTAGACATGTTTGGTATCTGGGTAGCCAGATCTGACAGACTAACACACCGACGAGACTTTTAACTTAGAGCAAAGGTCCACCGGACCGCTCTGACGAATAATGACGAATAGTAGGAGAAGTACGATTTTCATTTTATCTACTCTTTGGATACACTTGACACCCACGTCACAGCACTAAAAAACCAATGAGACACAATCGAGAACCCTATAGTGAATACCACTACTTAAAAAAGTAGCTAAACCGAATAGACCTCGGCACGGAGCTGTGAACGGCGTAGACATTTCGTTGCGCCGACGGTCGCCGAGAGACTGATGCGTATAACTCGTGTGAGTACTGTATCTCGATGCGGCGATACGGTACGGACGGGTAGTACAGCCACGCCCCTTTCCAGCTCCCACTCCGCGCGATTGTCTGTCAGAGGTGTTTTAGTGTTGTGACTTGGATGTCAAGTGTCTCCAAAATGAAAATTAGGTCTACTTCCAACTCTTCTGAAGGAAGCAGGATATCTGTGCAGCAAACTAGGTGAGCTCTGCATACTCATCTACTTGTGTGTTAAGGTTGACCGCCTATGTGTTTTTAACTGAATTACGCACATTACGTACACTGAGAGCTCAGTCATATATTGAGGTATTTGGGAAAAACTAAAATTTGACCAAATCGTTTTAATTTTTTAGTTATAACAAACGTGTTTTTTTGTACTTTTTCATTTTATTTAAGTACGCGTTGCAAACAAATGACTGATGTAAGATTGTGTGATTACTGAATTTAATCTAGTCTCATGCTTATCTTGGCCACCCTGCAATACATTATTATAAAAAGAAATTCACAGAAACGTGCACTAATCTAACGTTCTTGTAAATATTCCTATGACTTACATTCATATCTGAAAAATCTCAAAACTATTAGCAAAGCATCGAACAAAATATTAATTTTAGTCCAAGGAATTGGTGATATTCTATAATTGACAGTATCGTGCTTTGTCACTAAGCGTTGATTCTCTGGCGTTTTCAATCCTGGAATCTCAGCCCCGTGTTCAGGAAACTAGAATGTCTTACCATGATTGTTGGAGGATACGTGGGCACCAAATGTCCAACAAGAATAGGGATGTGATGCGTCCAAAATGCGTCTGCCTGTAATTCCACATGATCGAAGAGTTATAAGTTCGATTCAAGTTATCAAGCTGTCCATTTTTAGCTTCCTCAAAATTAATGCCTAATATCTCTGCGTATAAGACGGATACTAATAAATAGTAGAGTAAAATGAAAACCACACTTTTATTAATGATCATGTAATTTTAGATCAAATACTTAATAAATATATTTATAAAATAAAACATTGTTTTTTTCCAATTGTTGGGAGAAGTCCCGTATTCAAAAAGTATTTTATCCTATAAAACTGGCCATTTAAAAAATGTTCAGAGACCATAACGTTCTGCCGCATAGACGCCATGCGACTCAAAATGTAAATAACAGCTTTTGTTTAGTTTTTTTGGCTAACATTACTACGCTTCAAATTTTATATATCTCCATTGGTATTCCTCAATATTTCTTTTTTTATAACATTCTATCAAAATAGCAGAGGTAGCAAAATCGTCCGATTAGCTGGCAACGTCGCAATCCAGGTGGCAAGAATGACAAGATTATCTGTCAAGACGGATGTCTATCTCGGGGTACCGACGGAGTCATTTAGAAAGTCAAGGCGGCAATATTCATTTGCATTTTTTTAAGTGTTGTGCAAACAATTTCGACAAACATTTCGCTACGAATAGTCTTCTAGAGTCTAGTAGAATACATTTCAATAGTTGTCTTGCGTGGTCATGTTATCTTTACTCGGACCACAAGTTTTACTAGATTTATACAAAATGCATTATTGCCAACGTTGCAGACTAACACAAAAATGTCATTTGCTGATATGCTGTTCACCTCAATAGACGTCAAAGCGTGATGGATACTCGTGAAATAGGGTATAAAACATCCTGCGAGGGTCCTTCAACCTAATTTTCAACAATTTCAAGAAGCCTGATCTACTTAAAAATTTGCACAGGGATCAAGGGCCGACGACAATACAACAAATTTGTAAAAAAATCAAATTTGGAAATTTTGAAGTTTGGATAAAATTTGATTTACAAAATAAAATTAGAAAATTCGGAGAATAATATGAAGACACGAAAATTTTGAAAAAATCGAAAATTATAATACTTGAAAAAGTTTGGAAGTAAATTAAGATATATAGTCAAAAAAAAATATACCAAAAATCGAAGCTCCTGATTGTAAATGTTTTTGTTGTTTTGAAACTGGACATTCAGAAAATAAATTATATCAAAAAACACCCTTCAAGATCAAGATAAAAGTTGAGATAGCAACAAAAAATTGCATTATAGTAAAAATGCGTGAGGTTCAAGTAACTATGTTTTCATATAACTCCAATCTTGAACAGCAGCTAAAAAATAATTCTAACATGTAGTATGAAGCACCACACGACTTTTTAGTATAGGTAGTTGAATTTTTTGTTAATGTCTCAATTTTTATATATTGATCTTATTCCAAATTAATTAGTCAAGCTTGATTTTTGAACTTTCTATCGCAGCAACAGCTTTCCTATACAAGAATTTTTTTACGATTACTAAAGTTTGCAAATTGATTGATAACTCACTCGACTGTTATTAATATGGGTTCTAGAGGTTTCAACAACACCATAAAAGCAACAAGTAGTATTTTTGATTAATTAAATATATTACAAGAAAAGTTCAAGTAAAGTATATAATACCAGATATCAGTACATCATAGGACATTTAAAACAATAAAGTCGATAAGTAAATAAAATAAAAATAAGTACTCGGGAATGCTGCACATCAATGCAAAACACAGAAAAACGCCACATAAATGAATCACAGTAGGTATGTGACTTGAAGATGCCAAATATAGGTACAACTTTCTAAGCTGAATTGTAGATAAATTTATCACAATTCTTACCCACATAGTCAAATAAATACCGAGTCAGCATCCCCTTCACACTTGAAAAATCACAATAAGTCTAAAAGTGACTTTTAAAAATAACACCACTCCAAACCTGTGACGTGTTTCGCTATCCAAGTAGTTAGTATTGAATTTCAACTATTTGGGGTAATTTGTTATTTCAAACATATTTTCTAAAAATATGGCATTGTCAAACAGACCTAGAAGGCTCTATCTATTTTGTGCAGACGCATTGGCACTCGTTTAACTGGGCAGACAACTATTCCTAACAATTTTTCTATTCTGACTTTGGAGTATTATATTTGACTATCCATTCATGTTTCATCAATAAGGGCAGTGATAATCGATGACCCGGATTGACTACTAGTAATTTTTTAATGAGATCTTTGGCCTCTTCAGACATGTAACTGGGTAGAGTGAATTGGGCTTTACTAATCCTTCGATACGTTTCATCATAACACTTGGAATCAAATGGTGGTTTTCCTGTCAATAGTTCATAGCAAAGCACTCCCACACTCCAAAGGTCTACCTGCATTTGAAAAACAATAATTTGTTACTTATGACAAGAAAAATAATGATTGTAAGAAGTCACAAACATTCATTGTAAACATTGCAAAAAATTAATCGCGATAATGACATCACATTGCACCAAAAACAAACCAACAATCAGAAAGGACTTCAAGCATATTTCTTTTAATTGGTGATGGTGCAAACATTGCCATTCCACACATACATGTATTCAACAATAAACTTCCCTATTGTATAATGTATCTTTCTAAACCCTTTGTAAATAGTTAATATAGAGTATTTAGTCCGCATAAGGGATCCGTAACTCAGTTATATGCCTAAAATGAATATACAATCTTTGGGACATCTAACTCTCTGCAAACACACACACATCCTTTGGCAAATCATTTTTTTTTTCAAAGTCCCATCACCAAAATTGAGAAGGACCAATTAGCTTATCTAAAAAGATTCAAAATAATACCTTTTCATTATGTGATTTTCCACAGACCATTTCTGGAGGCAGATAATCCAAGGTACCACATACTGTAGTCCTCTTAGATGATGGGGCATGAACAGACCAACCAAAATCTGAATTGAAATAAATTATCAAATGGTGCATACATGAATCATATTTAGTTTTATTTTACCTGCTATTTTGATTTCACCATTTGAACCCAACAACAAATTTTCTGGCTTGATATCCCTGTGTATAACCTTCTTTTGATGTAAGTACATCAGTGCATCGGCTACCTGAGCAATATATTTTGCAGCTTCAGGTTCTGGGAACCTTTTGTCTAGTGTGGAAGTCAGTTTTTGATACAGAGCACCTAAGGTATATTTTATTAAAGATTTGCATTTCATGAATCAATGCTTGGTTTATTTTATATACAAATGCATCAGCACATATGAGCCGCTTCCCACTTCAGTTGGCCCAACTATTGAAATCTTAGTTTTTTCAATGCAAAATAAGTCTATAACACATAGGTGGCTGTGAAAAATAAAAGCCATGACAATTGTTATTATTAATCACAGCTGTCAGAATATGTTTAAAATAGTTTTGGGTACTTAAGGTTTTCAAAATGGGTAGTATTAGTGAAAAAATTCGGTTATTGATGATTAAATTTTTTAATTCTGGGAAATCAAACTCAGAAATTGCAACTTTGTTAGACTTATCGCGGTACAGTGTGAGAAATATTGTTAGAAGATACAACGTAACTGGTTCAGTTAATATTAAGCCACAATATATGAAAAAAAGTAATATCACAAATGCCGACCGAAGAGCATTAAGAATAATCGTGAAAAAAAGGGGTGCCAATTATTTACAATTAAGTGCTCTGTGGAGTGATCCTGTAGGAAGGAGAATTTCGAGGTCCACAACTTATAGAGAGGCCCACAAACTGGGATTTAGCACTTGCAAGGTGAGTTTTCTTATAAAAAAAAGTGAAGTAAAAACCCTAAAGTTGCACAACTTGTTTATAGGCCAAAGAAAAGCCACTATTAACTCCACTGCAAAAGAAAAATCGGCTTAGATGGGTTAAAGAACATAGAAAATGGTGTGCAATACAATGGAGTCGCAGTAGAGTTATTCGCAAAAAATGAAGCATTCCATGTTGACTGTCTGCAGAGAAAAGTGAAATTTCCAGCATCCATTATGGTCTCGGGCAGTATGTCATCAACAGGAGTAGGAGAACTTCAGTTTATTGATGGAAATGTGGATACAAACAAATATTTGGCAATTTTAGAAAAATCGCTTTTACCAGTGATGGAAGAATGTTTGACATAAGGCCAAGATTTTGTGTTTCAGCAAGATGGTGCAGCGTGCCATACCTAAAAAAAGGCTATAAAATGGATGGAAGAAAATAATGTACCACTTTTGAGATAGGTTTCTAGCAGTCCAGATCTGTCACCTATTGTAACTTTGTGGCACGAGATGAAAAAGGTTCTACGACAACATCATGCTCGTACAATCACCAAACTGAGACAAGAGCTTCAAGAAATATGGGATTGTTTTACACCAAATTTTTGCCAAAACTTGCTTAACACTATGCCCCAAAGAATTTCAGCCGTAATAAAAAATAAAGGTGATGTTACCCGATGGTAATCTTTCAATTGTTGCTTTGTTAACTTTGCACATTTATTCGAACATTGTTTATTTGTTCAGATGTTCTATTAGTTATAGGTCTAAGTGATTTCAAATATGTATTTTTTACGACAAGAGTGTATCTAAAATGTTTTTGAGAAACTAAATTATTTTAGAAGTAAATAGTTTCATGTTTAGTTTATAAAGGAATATTTTGGTACAATCTTGAAGTGGGCCAAATGAAGTGGGAAAGGGCTCGTACTACGCTCAACGAAGTTGGGCAAAATCAGCTACAGATTTTTAGAATTTTTATGACAAATATTTTCAAAATAGTTGAAACGATTCATATCAGAAGAACATTACTGGAACCACCCCTTAAAGTTCAACCAAATACTTTATTGACACCCTATATCTGCTATCTACAAATAAGCATTTACTCACCAAGAAAAAATATTTCGAGAAATATTTTTTAAGTAAATCACATCCCAAACAGTAAACTAGTAGATCGAGGTCTTACCATTTGCAGCAAATTCCAAAATTAAATAAACTCTAGCTTCATCATGGAAATATCCATACAGTCTCAAAATATTTGGATGCTTCAAATGACTCTGGATTTCGATTTCTCTTCTAACTTGGTGTTCATTGTTACATTCTTTTATAGCACTTTTGAAAAGAACTTTCAATGCTATTTTGAACTTGGACGATTTTTCTCTAGCTAGGTAGACATTGCCAAATTTTCCTTTGCCTAAAGGTCTTCCTATATCAAAATCACTCAATGTCCATTTTCTATCTTGTGTTGGTTGTTTTTTGCAAGCCCCTGTAGAAGTGACTGTTGATCTCACTTCATTCTCAGAATCTTTGAAAGATAAGAAGCCAATCAGTATTTATTTTCTAGCTGGACATAGGCAATTATTTTTTAAAACCTTTGACATAACTCCAATTATGAAATCATCAATACATGTAAAATGTAGTGGTGGGTGAGCACCAATCAAGTGAATTTAAAACTAAATTTGTATGTTCCTGAAAATGGTGAATTTAGGGGTTTTGTATATGAATGGTGGGATACTATTTTCAATACAGATACGATATTCCCATATGCATATTAGTTTAGTTTTTAATACTCTTGGTTGGTGCATGCCATCCTAAATATATGATCTTTTATATAGGGGTAAATAGGTACTACTTCTTGTCGTGTTTAAAATGAGTCTGAATCATAACTTTTCAGTAAAATATGCCTGGTATAATCCTGACAGTTTTGTATTGATGTAACCTGAACATGAATATCGTGGAAAATACATTTGTTTGCTAGTATATTACCAGTATTTATTACTTACTCGCATTGTTTTGCGCACTACTTAAAACAGGGCCAGAAGAGTTTGGAGGCACTAAATGCTGGTTCTCTTTATTCATGACAGCGCACTTGCTATCTGCCATTGGTTTTTGATTGTCTATTGATAGTAGGATGAGTCTAGGAACATTAATTTGTTATCTAAGACGTGGTTGTTCACTAGTTTTTCACTCAAAGTAAAAAATCCGTTGGAAATCAATGTACAGGTGAGCCTGTCAGTTTGAATTGATAGTGACAACTGAATTTTGACAATTGTCAGCTGGCTATGGGACGGAGCACAAAACCAGATCCATAGAGCACAGAAGGAGATGACGAACAACCTGCTATGATCCAGCTACGAGAGCAGTCAGATAAATACTCAGCGTTTGCTTGTTGTTCATATGATTTTATGTAGAGTGATGACATTCCAACTCAAATTTTCAATCTATTATAGTCCAGTAATTTAATTGAATGATAGCGTAGCAGTGGCGTATTATTTCTAGATGGGCGATACTTTTACTGCATTATCTAGCTGTAGCTGGATAAACAGTTACATGTGTTTGAAATTTGTTATATATTTCTGTCAGATTGCCGAATGGTCATTAGAACAATACTTATTCTAATGTAGGCTGCCGTACGCGCGGACTGTTTCGTCAAACATTTTTGCCCGATACTGTAGGCAGCTGATGATGTCACCTGTACAGGGAAACAAATTTGTTGCCAATATGTTACACCGGAAAATGTTCGTGCAGGCTTCTACAGTAGGTTAGGTTACTGTGAAACCCAAGAAGGTGCTCAGTTAGAACATTTAGTTTAATATTTTGTTTTCACTTTAATTATAATTACTTATTTCAGTTTTGATGCGAATTAATTTATTTATTTTGGAACTATCTTTGATTTCCAACGAATGTGATAAAATCAACCAGTGAGGCTTATTGTTACAATTTGCCGAAACAGTTTAACACTCCCCAATGAACGCTAGATGGGTACTGACAAAAATCACTCATCAATGATCATGGAAATGGAAACCTTGCCTTTGAATGTACGAGATGCGGTATTGCCAAGCGAACTAATGATGCAATGTTGCAGAATTTGTGGCGAATTTGACCTTTCATTACGACCTAAAATGGAGCGCCGCCGCCGTTAGGACCGATCCGGAATCGGTCCTTAACAGATTCGACACAATCCACAATTCAAAAATAAAACCATTATTTGGGGGTAGAGAATAAACTAACGCATATTTTCAACATGCAGTTTAATTCAAGGAACTGGTGTAACATATTGGCAACGCAGAATGCCGCGTCAGCGTTGATAGGCAACGCGGTGATGAACTTCGCTATTCAGTCGGCTTCTATCTCTTTCTAACGTATGTGTATATACACATTTCTCTCTCATACGCATTGAACTCAAGCCCTTAGAACAAATTTTGGTTCTGCCAAGCCATACGCTGCAATGTATTATTTATGTATTATTTTCCATAGTTATGGCCAAATATTGCAGCAAAAATATTGCTCTTTCAGGGCTGCGTAAGTTGAATACTTGTGGTCGTAAACAGTTGAAGAAAAGATAGGTGGGAATTATTTTCACGTGCTGACTGAATCGTTAAGGCAAACTATCAGCTGAGAATATGCCGAGAGATTTATATTAAAAAGAATTGCATCAAGTCAGCTTGAAATTTCGACTTCACGAGGCACCGCATAACGATTTGATGGATCTTAGCATTCGATGTGAAAAGTGAAAATTTCATCAAATCTAATTGGTGGATATCAAAGTCCAACCTTAAAATATCTATTTTAAGTCCTAACGGCTCGATTTATCTTAATAAAAAAAAGTTTTATTAAGATAAAGCAAAAATAAAATCTGATAACGCCGCAATGCCAGGCGCAAATTACGACGGAACGCAGTGTATATAAAGATGGAGTTTGTTATTTTTGGATCTTACGTATTATTTCATTATTTGATAATGTACTCGTAAAATGCAAACAATTAAAAAAAACGGACTTGCCACTAACTGTCTCAGCGCTTCACCTGGTGTGAGAAAGTTTATTGAACGTATTAAAAAAATTTTGATACATACGTTGTTTTTCTTTTTAAAACCCGCACTGCACTTTTTTGTATTCAAAGAAGGTGTTCAAAATGCCTCCACTTTCCACACAAGCTTCATTACGACGAACCCAGTTTCTTCTTACTCTAGGTCCTCGAAGTTGTCCCTTTATCATTTCAGCCGCATTAGATTCTTTTTCGCGAAGTTGTGCTTAAGTTGTTATTGGACCAGCCCCATAAACCATCCCTTTAAGTTCTCCCCAATACCAGATATCCATCGGATTGAGGTCAGGAGATCTTGCTGGCCATTTTCGAGGATCAGGAGCATTTCGATCTATCCAGCGATTTGGATAATGTTCATTCAAATACTGGATGACGCCTCTAAAGATGTGTGGTGGTGCCCCGTCATGAAGAAACCACAAATTCCGTCTCCGTTGTAATGGCATGTCTAAGGTCTGTTCCAAAAGTTCTGGTAGGTCATTGGCTAGAAAGCTAAGGTATCCTTCTCTAACCCGAAAGAGCCAATTACCTGATCGTCAAGAATGCCCAAATATTTATTTTAACACGTTGTTGGAAATTACCTTCACGAATGGTTTGAGGATTTTCTTCAGCCCACGTGTGAGTATTATGGAAATTTAATATTCCGTCTCGCGTAAAAGTACATTTGTCCGTCACTAGAATGTTTTTAAAAAATCCGGATTTTCAATGTTTTTATGAAAAAACCACTGACAGAATGTTAGTCTGCGAGGATGGTCTTCTGGTAACAAGGCCTGCACTCATTCTACATGGTAGGGATAAAGCAAATTTTCCCGTTGGATTCTATAGACTATGGTATGCGATAGTCATACGCGGCGGCCTAATTCCCGAGTGCTGATATCTGCATCGATTTCCACGATATTTAAAATTTGTTCCTCCTGCTCTACAGTAACCTGTCTTTCACGAGTGCGAATATTAGTGAGCTGAACGCTTCCTGTATCTCGAAGTGTTTGGTACACTTGTACAAATATCTATCCTTCTGTCTGGGTGTACCCGTTGTCAAAATCTGTTGTGATAAATTTGAGCTGCAAGATTTGAATTCTGACGAGCTTCACCGTAAACTAACAACATGTCGGCGAACTCTTGATTCAAGAACATTGTAAACAACACGCCCGATTCCGGATAACTAACCACTGTTACCGTTTGCGATCGATTGCCGGTTCGATAAGAGTGATGATGACCGACGCGCTGTTGTCATGTGTTTAAAATATTCAATTTAATGAAACTTACTTACTAACTACAAATTTTGGCTCAACTTAGAAAAACTCAATGCCATTTAGTTGTTAATTACCCAATTTAAAAACGTTTTAGATTAGATTATAAAAATTAGTAAGATTGTGGTGATTATGGTCGATATAAAGCACTTAAAGTTGTAAACTATAAAGCCATTTAGACAAAAATCTATTGACTTTTGGACCACGGGTCATATGAACCTTTTGACTTGCTTTGACCCCCGCTATTACCCATTTCAAGAACGTTTACACTCTGTATATCGAGTACAAATACTTCTGTTGGTTATTAGTTATCACCGCACACCCAACGATCTTTCCAATGGCTCTGGCAGCAGAGTTTCACTAAGTTTTGTAAACCTACTACCATACCACTATATTAGATAATTAAAAATGCAAACTTTCAATCCCAGGTTCCGGAGTATCCTTGAACTACCCTCACACCTCATCACAACTGTCCTTCGTAACAAAATTAACTTTCTTCTCGCAGAGACAAAGTTTGTTTCCACCTTCAAGTTGTTTTTGGTCAACGAACTCTCTAACAGTGTTTTTTCCTCTCACTTAAGGGAAGTCGGTGTCGTGGCTGTCAAGCTATTTGCCCTCGGAAGGCCTAGTCGGTATCTCGCTTTTAATTGACTTTGTGGGATAAGAGAATTCTATGTGTATTGTTTCACCACGCATTAGAAAATAACCAGAAACGTGTAGCTAAATTGGGTTATTTAAATATGTGTGTCACTCGTTCCTCAGAATCAGCCGCATAACGAATGTCCTAAAAGTTTTGGCTTTAGAAAAAAAAGTTTGTTAACTCATGTTACTGTCAGTTGACATAAATTAGATATAAGAAAAAGTAAATACAAGTTAGTTGGGAGGGGATCAAAGCTGAAATTTGTCGAAAATTCCAGAATGAAAATATTTCACGCCCAACCATTCATCGAACAATAGCGGAGTGCGAGCATGGAATACCATGTCTGAAAAAGTGGAAGGCGACGTGCATTTACTGCACAGAGGTCAGTGACATTGGTGAAAAGAGCAAAAAATCAGGTCGAAATGTCAACAAGGAAACTGGCTTGTCAATAAAGATCTTCTAAGAAGAAGTTGGAATTGGGGCGGAACGGTCTTGAATATCGAAAGAAACTTAAGTGCACTTTGAGTAATGAAGGGAAACGATGGATTTTATACGGACAACATAGAGGAATGCCCTGACAATGTTAGATGCGAAGATAAAGCGAAATTTGCAGATAAAATCCTTGTCTAGTGCGCAATTTCTAACAGGGGTGTATCCCAACGTTTTGTGGGAAGAGTGAGGGGTGAAGCTTTGAATAGTCACTATACCTGTATTGATAACTGCCTTTCCAAATTGCTTCAGTTTGTCCACGAACATCATGCTAATAACCATACCATGTTTTGGCCAGACAACACAACATACCGTTTGTTCCCAAAAACGATAGTGCTACAAACTTGCCACAGGCTCGCCCAATAGAGGATTTTTGGGCTTTACTGTCTAGGAAGGTTTATCATGGAAGCTGGTAAGCCCAAGATGAAGAAGAATTAAGACGGTGAATTTACGAAAAACTGAGAGAAATTGATCTGAATTCCGTCCAGGACCTCATGAGAGACATTAACTCAACCACTGAATGAGGATGCATGTATCCTCACTATGGACTAATTGTTCGAGCCCGTTTCCATTTATTTCCTTTGTTATACAGGGTGCGGCAGAGAGGACGGACGGTTTTAAAAAAATCATAAAATAGTTAATTTTTACTAGAAAACAAATTTATTGATGGAATCAGGTCCACAAGGAAGTAGCATTTGAGACAGTCAAGTGTGGAAAATCACATCAGGCATGTGGTGGCCGAAATCGTTGATGCAGTGCAGGAGGCGCTCTTGGAAGTTCGCGTAGACTCTCTCCAACATCGCTCTCTCAACATGGGCGACTTCCACGCGAATTTCGCCCTTCAATTCGTCCAGTGTTCGGGGCTTGTTCGCGTATACTCTAGCCTTGAGGTGTCCCCATAAGACAAAATGAGGTTCTCAGTTTGATCGATCAGTGCTTCCATCTCACCTGCGAAGTTCATTCGTTGTGCATAATCTCAATGGCCAATTTGTAGGGGTGAAAGCGCAAAGTTCGCCATACCGAACGATCACTAAGGCAAAGTGTCGCAGCA